AGTAAAGTTAACAATTTAATTCATTAAATATAGATATTAAACGTGTTATACGGCTTTCATACGTGTTTAGGCGAATTCGATGAGGAGAAGCAGGAATATTGACGGTGAATGAGATAATTAAGTGAATTCAAAATTAAGAAATCGATGACGGATTAGAGAAGATATACGAAGGTGAGGGGAGATGAAGAAGAAGAGGCGTCATTGATGAATGAAGAAGGGACTACTCTTGTAATAAATAGTTTGGAGAAATTAGGGAAGGAATAAGGAAGAAAGGAGAGGAAGGAAATAGCGACACATTTGGAAAAAGAAGCAAGAAAACGTGGTAATGTGAAATTACTAGGGGGAGGTGTAGTATTCTCAATTACCATGAATGTGGTAATTGAAGCCAATTTCCATGGTCCAATTCCCATACTCTTTTTGTTCTTCCAAACGTGGGATTTTAACCAAATTACTGCATTATGTGATAATTGGGTCCAATTACTGCACTACATTTCCACATCCAAACGATTATTAATCCTTTTATACGCTGAAAAGTTGGGATGTAAGATCCTCATTAATCCTTTTATACGCTGAAAAGTTGGGATGTAAGATCAAAACCAAACACTGAAAAGGCTGATTCGGCAGTCGGGGCACTACTTACCAAACCGTGACCACTCAGCCCAATCGTGCTAGAAATAGGCACGGGACAAGTGAACTTCCCACGCGTGAGTGTTTGTGGATGGACTGTGGTGTTGTTGGTAGGTGTACCAGAATTTCCTGAAAGCCCCACCAATTTTCTGCTTCTACCAAAATCACTCCTATCTCATCTCATGCCTCGTCCAAATTTCTTCACCTACCAAGTTTTCAAATAAAACACACATAAATAACTAGATTAGGGCCCGGCCTCTTGGCCGGAGAGTTTGATTTTCATGTGTATGTGTATTTAACATTGACAATTGAAGTAACAATTTAATTTGGTAAGTTCTCCATGAATAATATAGGAAAGTATTTGATGTATTTGACTAATGAAGTTTAAAAAATGACAAACAACGCCCAACTACACTAACATAAATTCATATTTCAAACAAAGTCATATCTATATAAAAATGTCTAAGAAGAACACTGATAATAGTTGTTTTACATTACACATACATAATCAATCTTCAGTATACGATAAATTTTTTTGCCTTTTCCATTGACTTTCGTGTATTCAATGATATAATGAAACAACCTATATGTTTAGAGTGTACTTAAAAAGAAACAAACTAACTCACACAATCATGGTTTCATTGACTTTAGTGTATTCAATGATATAATGAACAAAGCATGCAGATCTCCAGCTGCAAGTTCAACTAATAGAGCAACACATAAAAGCTAAATCAAAGCGAAAAGAAGGCAAAAACTAAAACCAGCATACCTAACATTTTGGGGGGAAATCCACAACAATAAAAGTCATTGTATGAACACTTGATAATGATTTGAACACTTGTGATATATGAGTAGTGAAAGTTAATAAAAGTCATTGTAGCTCTTACTCAATGATATTTAGCTCTTACTCAATGATATTTAGTGCTTAAGAGGGAAGATGAGACCTTACATTGTTTATTAATATGCATCTTAGTTTCATAAATTTTACATCATTAAAAATTTATGTGCTAAATAGAAACCCATCCAAGGTTGGAGCCATTGTAAAATGTAAGTTATGAGGCAAATGAAAAGTCTCAAGCAAGGTTGTCAACCCGCGGGTTGACCCGGACCTGGTGAAGCTAGTGGGTCAAGGGTTAATGGGTCACCCAGATTAGCCCGGTTTAGCCCGAAATATGGAAAGAGTCATTATATTATACTTATCCTGATAAATTATATCAAATCTCATCTAACATATGAGTTATAACATATAATATTACACTAAAATAACATGTCGTACTTAGATCCAACATATAGTGAAAATTCACACACAATTATATAACAACAATATTCAAATGTTCAACTTAGGATTCCAAAGATTAAGTTAGGCGAAGAGAAAATCGGAAAATAGGTGCATTTCGCAAACCAAAGAAAAAAATGACACAATTTGACCTCTAACCCGATACCTTGTAGCGGTCGACTCGGCGGGTACGTGCAGCCCGTTTTTCTCACCGAGTCAGGGTCAAAGTAGGTCGACCCAGGGGTCGACCCGTTGATTGACAACCTACTCTCAAGCATCCACATGATTGCAAAATAAATCTATATTATCAAACATAAAATCATATCTTGCATCAGAAAAAATAACAAAAAAGTAGTAATTCGATAATCAATATAGGAATCAATATGGACACAATATCTAACCAAGAGAAGAGGAAGCGAAAAAACACAAATTGTTGTGTATAGATTCCGCTCACGATATTTCAAAGTGAAAAATATCATAAAAATTATTAACCAATAAAAGGGAACGGTTAAGGGGAAAATGCATCAATTTGAACCTAAAATGAGAGAAATTAATATCCTACACCATCATATATAATTATATATTATATCCCAGAATATCATAAACAAATCTATCTAAATGAAAAAGTATACTAAATTGAATCCAATGTAAAAGTAACGATGAAGATATATATTATATCCACCTAGGGAATAATAAAGTAAACCATGTTCCTTAGAGACCTCTCTCGATAGAACCACTCTATTATAAAACCCATTTCGTCAAACAATTGCATCATATAGAGTTTTAACTTAAATTTGAAGTGCTTATAATTAGCTATTTCAACTCATGAATCAATTAATTATATCATTTGGTAAAAGAAAATAATTTATAAACTTGAGAGTTATTTCGTTTATTGTTAAATCATTTGAACTAAAGTATGAAATTGCTTCAGAACCGTTATTTTATTCATTATTATTAAAATTGCTATTTTTATTATAATGTCTAAGCATGTCTAGGCGAGCTAGGAGATAGACAAATGCCCAATGACCGTCGTACGCCTAACGTGCTGCTGAACCTCAATAATTATAGCAAACTTTGAGTGCATCTTATAAATTTGATCACTTATATTTTGGTATAATTGATTACATCAATAAAGCGATCAATCAAAGAGTCTTTCTTTAAGATTTTGATAAGTTGTCCCCTACTGCACAATTAGTATGACTAAATTGTACTAAGATAATCATGTATTGAATTTTGAATCGATAGCGCAAAAGATTGTACTAACTCAAGTAGAGTTTTAGCTACCCAGTACTTCAAATTCGCATGTAGATAGCTATTTCGAAGAGTTCGAATATTGATTGAGTTTGTTGAACTTTACCTAATGAAACTATGATATCAATCACAATATATTATGCTTTTAGGAGAAATTGGGAGAATATGTTGGTGCCATCAAACCTAACATGGATACTATTGAATTTAAGTGATAAGCAACATTTATGTTTAATAGATTAGACATGAAAAATATATTTAGCATTCTCATAAGTTGGTATGAAGAAGTGAATAATTAGGAATTGAAAGCTAGAAACAAAGTTGATTTAATAAAGAACTGGAAATGATATTGTGAAAAAGAAAACAAATGCTTAGAGCATAGCTAGGCATGAGAGTGTTACATTAAATTCTCTAAGAGAAAGGAAGTACCCATTAATAGTTAGCTGTGGATATTGAAATAGTTAACTATGATGAATACTATATACTGGTGTTAATACTTGGACTTTAGCTTGAACATTGCATCATGCTGATAAAAATTATTTCATTAATTACATTATTGAAATAAGGGGTTGTATGAAAGTTTTGATTGTTTTTTTTAGATTGTTAAAATAAATACATTTTTCATAATACAATACATATGTTTTTATTTTTGTTCATACACAATCGTGAATTATTTGCTTGATTTGACTAAACTATCATTCAAATTGAATGATTAAACAATTTCGAATATTAACATAGACTGTCGAGATAATTGGTATCGATGTTTGTCATTTTTATTTATCTTGAAATGTATGGTACTAGTGTCCTTATATCGTCATTGAACACTTCATTCAACACTTCAATTCAATGCGCAATATTCCAACCAATGATATTTGTGTTGAGATTTTAAGATTATCCTTCATTTATAAGTTAGAAAAAATTATAAATTAATTATTAAAATATGAAAATAGAAGTATCAAACTCCACAAAGTACTTACAGGATACTTAGCGGGCTAACTAACTGTGATAGAAAAGTACTTTGTTTTTCATAATTTTAACTTCATCTATGTTTTGTATTAATAAAGTACAACAAATATGTCTAGTCTAATTGGTTATAATTCTTGTCATTGGTGGAAGGGACCATTGTTCAAATCCTAGCATTGATATTTTTTTATAGGGCTGGAGGTTCGATTATCGATTGCCGGTTAACCGGGCGGTTAAACCGATAACCGGCGGTTACCGGTTAATCGATAACCGAAAATTATATGCTTCGGTCGGTGATCCGGTTAACCGACAATAACCGAAAATAACCGACCGACCACCCCCTCACCAAAACGACGTGAAAATACCCGGTTATGAAGTTTATAACTTTATGTTATTAAATTTGAGACATTAATTTGGCGATTTAGATGTATTTTCTATGCAAAAGTGATTGAGACTTTACTTTGGGTGTGATTTAGATGTAGAAATGTAAGTTAGAACCTTTCATTTGAGGCGATTCTAATAATTTTACCTAGTTAAAATCGAACCACCATCATTTTTTCGGTTATCTCTGTTAACCGACCAACTAACCGATAACCGACCGGTCGATTATTGGTTAACCGAGGCATTGGCGTCAGTCGGTGTTCGGTAGGGGGAGATGGTGGTTCGGTTAACCGATTTTCGTCTACTCAATCATTTTTTTATCGGTTATCGGTTAACCGAACCGAACCGAATCCACCCCTATTTTTTTTATATAAAATAAAAAAAATGATTGTGTAGACGAAAATACTCTTCTTACTTTCACTCTCGTTACAGGAAATTTGAAATGGAGCAAATAGTCTAGATTCACAAAACCCCATCCCCGACCCCGATTCTCTTTCATTCAAGCCCCCAGTTTTGATTCGAATCCGGTTCTCAGTCTTTCCCTTGTTTTTTTCACCCACAGCTGAGAGACGCCCCCAACCCCCTCGTATAAATTTCCTTGACTTCAGCTGGGTGGCAAGTTGCCTGGGAAAACCGTGGGTTTTGGGGGGATCGCTCAACTATCGCTAGGATGGATTTGGAATTCCTGCAGACAGTTGACCCTCAGATCCTCGTGGGCGTTGCAGTGGCTGTTGTCGCCATTGCCATTGGTGCTATCTTCCTCTTCTCTTCCAGGAAACCTAGAGGTTTGGACTTCTGACATCTCTTCTCTGTTTTGGACTACTGGCCAAACTTAGATGGGAATTGATGTTATGATGTGGTTTTCTCGGCTGGGTTTACCTTTGTTGTTATTTCTGAGAGATGGGTTCTCACAAAGCAAAGTTGCAAACTTTGTGACAAATTATGCATGTTTTAGCTGCTTCCAATTGTCTAGCTTGAGGCTATGTGATAAGGACTTGTTTCAATGGGAATAATTGGGGATTGGGTTCCAGATGATCTAGCTGAACTGTAGGATGCACAATAGTTTTGATCGACTGTTCAATGTTTAATTGTCGGGTAACTTAAAAATAAATTTGTTTTACAGGTATCTTAGACCCTGAGAACTTCAGGGACTTTAAACTCGTCAAGCGCACGCAGCTTAGCCATAATGTGGCCAAGTTCACGTTTGCACTGCCTACTCCAACTTCAGTTTTGGGCTTGCCTATTGGTCAGCATATTAGTTGCAGGTTTTTTCATGATCCCTCTTTGTCAAAATGATTGATTATTCATGTTAGGCATAGCCCGCATTTGCAAACTTCTTGACATGGTATTGGTAGTCAGAATTTGTTCTGCATCAACCGTGATAATAGAGAAATAATACTGCGGCTGATGGAGTTGGGTCTTTGCTTTTGGCCTGTTTATTTGTCATAGCTTGGTTCTTATACAGCTTTCTCTCTTGCAGGGGCAAGGATAGTCAGGGAGAGGAAGTAATTAAACCCTATACTCCAACTACGCTTGACTCTGATGTTGGATCTTTTGAGTTAGTTATTAAGGTGCATGATCTTTCCTTCACTTGACTTCGTTACCTCAACTTGAACACTGTCTTTTCATGCAACAAATGGGCTGTGATGTTGGAAACTACTGATTGGCCATAGTTAATTGGGTCCTGTTATTCGATCTTGTTAGCAATTGCTGCTAGAAAAGGTCACTTTTTTTTATCATTCTAAGGCTGATCACACAAGGGGAGGTTACAAAGAAGGGACTGTTCATTTTGCTCCAGTTGGACCACGCTAGTAGTCACTTCTGGATCAATTTGAACTGCTTAACTTAATTTGGATTTCCTTCTAAATTAGATGTATCCACAAGGAAGAATGTCCCACCATTTCAGAGAGATGCGTGTTGGCGAAAGTCTCGCTGTGAAAGGACCCAAGGTACAAGGTCTATTTCCTCAATAAAGTAGAATCCACTTTTGCGCCCTGTTTTCTTTTGCATTGATATTCTAAAAATAAACTTTGATTACTTTAATTCCTGATATCAATTTTCTGCAGTATTGAGCATCCTGCAGGGGTGTTGCTTATTGTTAGTTGAACCATTGTGTATTTTGCTTCACTATGAGGATTTCCATCATAGGAAGAGTGGTTTCAGTTCTGTTGCTGACAATGTCTGAAATTTAACTGGTAAACAGGGGCGTTTTAGATACCAACCTGGCCAAGTTAGAGCTTTTGGAATGCTTGCTGGTGGCTCTGGCATTACACCAATGTTCCAAGTACGCTCTGAAACCTAACTTTTCGGCTGTTAGTATCCACACACCTCTCGTTTTTTATTTATTGATGAGTTATCCTGGGTGCCAGTAGCACGGGACTTTACTTTTGGCGAAGATTTATATAAGATTTAATTTTGTTAATTCCTCCTTCAGGTTGCCAGAGCCATACTGGAAAACCCGAAAGACCAGACGAAGGTCCATCTTATTTATGCCAACGTAACACATGATGACATTTTGTTAAAGGTAATGTGGTGTCCTGCTAGCATTTTAAGTTGATGATGTACAAAAATGAAAAACTCAACCTGTCCAGCTAAAATGACTGTATAAGGCTTTAAAACAGCTGGAAGGGAGTGTTCCAATTCTTCTAGGTCTACTGTTGGTCTAGAGTTTACTACTTGATTTGGCGGTAAAATCAGGATTCTGTTGGATAATCATTCTAGTAAAAATCAAGCTGCACTCTTCTTCTAAATGTTCAGTTTCTTTCTTCATATAGTCAAAGACCCTCTTCTGTTAAACTCAGTAATTAACTGTAACCCCAATTTAATTTGCAGGAAGAATTGGAAGGTCTTGCTTCTCGATACCCTGACAGCTTCAAGATCTACTATGTCTTGAATCAGGTTCGTTGTTACACTGTTTACCTCTCTGATCCGTCTGTTGATATGGCTGCCTTTGTTTATGGCTTTAGTTAAATAACGATATGGACACACACTGAAATGCAGCCCCCAGAGGTTTGGAATGGTGGTGTTGGTTTTGTTTCAAAGGAAATGATTCAAACCCATTTGCCAGCTCCAGCAGCTGATATCCAGGTAACCTTTGCTGAGTTCCTTGATTCTTCTGTGCATTATGCTATTCATCAGTTCTCCCGCTATGCCATCTACTTCATCAGCTTTTAACTATATAATAATGATGCATATGTGCAGATTCTTAGGTGTGGACCGCCACCGATGAACAAGGCCATGGCAGCACACCTTGAAGCGATTGGCTATACCCCCGAGATGCAGTTTCAGTTCTGATCTAAACATGTTTATTCGAGCTCGGGAGCAATTTCAATTGCGCACTTTGTTGTAGTTGGCTTGCACTTAGTCTGAATGATGAAACGATCATGCCCTTCTCTTATCTGAGAACAAATGAAATGTGCCTGCCTGACTTTTCATTGCTCATTGTTGATGTTGAAACTAACAAAGAGCTTGTTAGAAACTCTCTTGGGGCTGATCTTTGGCACCCGTGATTATACGTAACAAGAGGGATTTAGGGATTGGGATAAGAAATTAGGGATTTAGATGAGAAGAACAGAATAGAATAAAGAATCGGTCGAGGCCTTGGATTAGGAGAGAATAGAAATTAGGAGTTAAGAGGATAAACTAGGGTTTAGGAGATTCTTCTTAATATTATTCTTAACTGATCATTATGATGTAAATTCAAAGTACATACTTATAGGGAAATACTGGAAAATCCTAATAATAATCCTAATATGACTAAATCTCTACTAATCATAATTGTAATTATCCAACTTAATATAATAATAGAAATCTCAAATAACTGTGTTTCGGACAAAGCTCCTTTAAGTTTTGGATGAAATTAATGCTTTTAGATTGCAGAATTAGCCTTTTCCACCGAAGAACTCGTATCAATTCTATAAGCACGTCCCGGCTTGTTGCCAAACTTGACACAAAGCATGGCCATTCTGCTGCTTCGGAGACACGTGGGTCTCATGTAACACCAGTTTGAAGGAGTGCTGAAGCTGGAGGGTCAAGGAAGCCTGGAGACTAGGGGCAGTCAAGATTGAGGGAAAGCTCCTGATAAGCTCATACGTTCATTCCAACATGGCTACTAGGACGACGACGAGTAGACCAGCCCATCGGGAGCAAGGCTTGGCATGCCAAGAGTCCAGCCTTGGTTATTTGAAGGTTTCCGTTAGTTGAAGGAGTCAACTTAGAGATGTTAGAGTTCTCATCTTAGTTGTTAGAGTTTAGAGTTTAGCTTAATAGGTGGAGCAAGTTTAGCCCATTAGTTGCTGAACGTGGGAGTAGTTCCTCATAGATAGGTTTAGTTGTTTTTCCCTAGCAAAACGTGATGTATTTAAGTTATGAGTTTATGGAATAACAGACAAGGAGAATTTTAGCAAAGAAACCCCCTGGTCATTTCTCGCCACTAATGGAGAAAACTGGTTCAATCCCGCCAAGAAAAGGGATCCATTCACTCATACGATTTCAACACATATCCTTTGGTATCAGAGCCGTCGATCCGTGTTTGGATCACATGATGAGCTCAGAGAAACCATCAACAGATGAACTCATCAATCGACTGATGACATCCTTGGATATAGCGATGGCAGCTTGGCGTAGAGCCATCACGGTTTACGATAGAGTCACCGCACCACCACCGCGAGTTGAAGCTGCCGATTTGTTAGAGGTTAAGGAAGAAGATGTCGATTTTTTCGGTGTCGCATCACCTGCGCCTTCGATGTCATCTGTGTCTCTCACAACAGCGCTGTCGTCGATTGCCATTGCACCGCCGCCGCCGCTTGATACCCTCGCCACCATGGAAGACGTGAAAATTGTTCCGCAACAAAGACTTGTTGCACCCCTGGTCATCACGGCAGAGGTATCCATACCTACCGCTTCTGTTGCTGTTGCATGGGTCCACAGCCGCTAACGATTGAGAGCTTTTCGAGTTTGTTTGAAAGGCTGCAATCCAACACAGTTGATGCAGCCGATGTAGGGGAGGATATCACTTCTCTCAATGTGCTTTTGATAACTGAGCTTACCTCGCCAGAACCCGTCGCTGGTGACATAGGCATCAATGATACCATCGCTACACCACCTAAGACCAATGTGCAGTTTTGGATTGATTCCGTCTGCGTAAGGGTTTCAGGCGATTCTCGAACAATGGACCAAGGGTTGACCGGTGAGGCTGCACCTGTTGATGCAGAAATGCGGAGTCTCAAGACTATCCATCGATTCCGGAGCTTCCCTGTCGATCGCCTCAAACAACAAAGAAATAGCATATCGGGCGACAGTAGAGATGATTTCTCGGGAACCTGGATTAAAGGATGTGAAAGAAAACAAATTATCCCAATTCGATTTGACGTTTCATGGAAATTTAGAAGGAAAAGGGAGTTGGAGGATGGTGGCCAAGAGCGCAATGGAGAAGAAGGATGTCGTGAAGATGAGTTTTGCAAGATGGCGGTGGCTGGTTCGAATTTTGCGGGACTGGGTGCCGCAGGCGAGCCTACCATTCAGGGTTGCGTTTGGCTGATGATGGGTGGATTGACGGGAGGCCTTCTCTATAGATTGAAGCCAAACCCCAAGACCATTTCTCATAGATCACATCAGCTGCAACCACCGGGTACTGGTCCCATTGCAATGGATTTCTATAGGAAGAAAGATGTTGTGAAGGATGCAAAAAGAGGACGAATTCAGGCCGCCAATGTTGGGCTACTGTCACAAAAGGATTGGCGGCAGCCGCTGCTTGTCCACTCAATTAAACGTGTAAGGTCTCTACCGTGGGGCGAATATGATAATTATGGGGGAAGGCTTTCTCTGCTTTGTCCATGGACCAAGTCACGTGAGGGTGAAGGATCAATTGTCTGTTGCGACGATGATCAAGTTACGGGGCATAGAGTTCCAGCCAATGCGAGAAAGAAGAACGGAGGTCAAGCTGCAACCTGGACATTTCGAAAGCGACCGAAGCCACGCCGTCTAGAATCTCCGTTGTCGTCCTCCGCGCATCGTCTAGGCTGCATTTTCGATGATCGCTTGGTTAAGCTCGGCCTTGAGGACAAGGCCGCTTTTCAGGGGTTGGTAATGATAAGCTCATACGTTCATTCCAACACGGCTACTAGGACGACGAAGAGTAGACCAGCCCATCGAGAGCAAGGCTTGGCATGGCAAGAGTCCAGCCTTGGTTATTTGAAGGTTTCCGTTAGTTGAAGGAGTAAACTTAGAGTTGTTAGAGTTTTTATCTTAGTTGTTAGAGTTTAGAGTTTAGCTTAATAGGTGGAGCAAGTTTAACTCATTAGTTGCTGAACGTGGGAGTAGTTCCTCATAGATAGGTTTAGTTGTATTTCCCTAGCAAAACGTGATGTATTTAAGTTATGAGTTTATGGAATAACAGGCAAGGAGAATTTTAGCAAAGAAACCCCCCTGGTCATTTCTTGCCAATAAAGGAGAAAACTGGTTCAATCCCGCCAAGAAAAGGGATCCATTCACTCATACGATTTCAACACATATTATTTGGTATCAGAGCCGTCGATCCGTGTTTGGATCACATGATGAGCTCAGAGAAACCATCAACAGATGAACTCATCAATCGACTGATGACATCAGTCACGTGAGGGTGAAGGATCAATTGTCCGTTGCTACGATGATCAAGCTACGGGGCATAGAGTTCCAGCCAATGCGAGAAAGAAGAACGGAGGTCAAGCTGCAACCTGGAAATTTCGTAAGCGACCGAAGCCACGCCGTCTAGAATCTCCGTTGCGTCCTCCGCCCAACGTCCTGGCTGCATTTTCGATGATCGCTTGGTTAAGCTCGGCCTTGAGGACAAGGCCGCTTTTCATGGGTTGGTAATGATAAGCTCATACGTTCATTCCAACACGGCTACTAGGACGACGAGGAGTAGACCAGCCCATCGAGAGCAAGGCTTGGCATGGAAAGAGTCCAGCCTTGGTTATTTGAAGGTTTCCGTTAGTTGAAGGAGTCAACTTAGAGCTGTTAGAGTTTTCATCTTAGTTGTTAGAGTTTATAGTTTAGCTTAATAGGTGGAGCAAGTTTAGCCCATTAGTTGCTGAACGTGGGAGTAGTTCCTCATAGATAGGTTTTGTTGTTTTTCCCTAGAAAACGTGATGTATTTAAGTTATGAGTTTATGGAATAACAGACAAGGAGAATTTTAGCAAAGAAACAACCTGGTCATTTCTCGCCAAGAAAGGAGAAAACTGGTTCAATCCCGCTAAGAAAAGGGATCCATTCACTCATACAATTTCAGCACGTATCAGCTGCCTTGGGAGAGACCCAGAATTGAATGAGTATTTAGCAGACTGTCTTAGAGTTAGTCTTCAAAGTATGGAAATACCACACCGGAAAAGAAAGGAGTGCAACGAGCTTCTAAAACTTCTTATCACTTCTTATAAAAAAAAAATTCTTATCACTTTACCTGGCTCAGGGACGGAGCCAGCTTGTTGGCAAGGGGGGGTGCCCCCCCTAAGATTTTAAATAAGTTATAATACTGGGTAAGTTTCATAATTAAGAACTATCCCAACTGGTTGAGATGTTGACTCGTGAAACTATAAAATGCATTGGGCAGGGAGAGGGTCTGACTTTATTTCTTTCCTTTACTGATTTCAACTTCACTTTCTCCTTACATCTCACTCTCATATGTTATTCTTTCTTTAATTTTTAATTTTGCAAGACTTTATTCCTTTTCTTTTCTGATTTCAACTTCACTTCCTCCTTACATCTCACTCCCATATGTTATTCTTTCTTTCATTTTAATTTTGCAAGGAAATCGTATCATTTTGATTTCAACTTCACTCCCTCCTTACATCTCACTCCCACATGTTATTCTTTCTTTAATTTTTAATTTTGCAAGGAAACCCCTCATCATTATGGTAATCTTATTTACATTTGATGCAAGAAATATAGCAAGAAAACTCCATCATCATTATGGTAACCTTAATTACATTTGAATGTGATTCAAGAAAATGTTTGATCTAATCCATAAATGATGTAATTGTTCTTAATTTTTTGTAGTTAAACTGCAGTTATTAGAAGAAAAATATTTAAATAAGTAATTGTTTTTCAGTTTTTTTTTAAGAATCTAATGAAATATTTTCTTCATGAATTTACAGAATGTTGTGCTAAATTGATTTCAATTTTTGACTTCATTGCATGTCCTTGTGACCGTAATTGTATTTTGATTGCAATAAAAGATGGAATCTTATCCATGAATTATTAATCATTTATTTTTTCCATTGTTAAATCGTCGATTGTTTGTGTAAATCTATGAAAACAATTTGTCAACTTCATTATATCATGGGAAAAAGGAAAAAAAAATTCTCGGCCCCCCCTAATGTCAAATCCTGGCTCCGTCCCTGACCTGGCTAATGATTTCCCGTAAGAGGTGTGTAAGAAATGTTCCATCTTCTCTTAATCTGAAAGTTAGGGAATAGAGACAACCACTCTCGATTGCAAAGTGCCCGGTCAAGACGTTAATGGAGCTTCCCATTGGGTCCGAGTTTACCGGATTCTAATGAGAGTGATTCGATCACACTTTTAACTATCATTGGGCCCGGCCCGTTGGCCGGTGTTCTTTAGACCCAGTATATGATTTTTGTTTTGTTCTATTGATTATCGAATGCAATAAATATCAACGACATTATACATCAAGCAAAGTCAAAGTCCCAATTACTTGATGAATACAATGGAATCTATATATAGGATTAAATTGTAATGGTTAGCTGCTGCTATTATGATAATGGGTTAATAGCATTTTGTACCCCTCTACTATCGTAAATTAACAAACGTATCCATCTACTAAATTTTCGCACAAACATGCCCTTCTAATATTAAAATGTAACGAATTTACCCTTCTGACAAATTATCCCTTAAGTGGCCGTTAAAGTGGCTGAAAATTACCCAATTGCCCTCCTTTACTCCTAATTTAATTTTAATTATTTTAGATATTATTTATTATTTATTTGTGTCCCAAAAAATTAATTAAAAGAACAAACACTAAACAATTCACGCGCAGTCACAAAAATTCTTCCGTCTGCTTGTTCTCCCCTGGCATCGTCGATCGACTCGGTGGCGATGTTCCCGGCTTATCCTGGCCGGCAGTCACAAGAAACCGTTCGACCCGCCATTTGCATCTCCTCCCGCCATCCCGCACTCGGATCTCGTGCTCCCGTACTCTACCACTCCGCCGACAGTTTCAATTCCGAATAGGGGAAGTCGAATTTTAGGTCGATGGATCCCGAGTCGTCGACGGCGGTGGTGAAATTGCCTTCACGGAGCGAAAAAACCCCCAGGATCGAATAATCCCTCTTCTTATTCTCGACGTTGTCGAACCCGCTGTGGCGGCGACTTGTTGGAATTCGAACGCATTAAAGTGTTGGAAGGCTATGATTGAGCGTCGTTCTCGATCAGGAAGGAGACGCGACTGACGCTGTCGACTTCTAGATTGGACTTGCTCTTGCTGGAATGGGAGGCGCGATTGGGGAAAATTTCGCAGTAGGAGCAGGAAGAGATTTCGCTGCAATCGAGTAGACCAAAGTGAGGAGGCATTCTTGGAGGCAGTGGGGGCAAAATCTGACGGGAGGGGAAGAAGAAGGTGTCAGTTGCACTTTACAGGGAAGGTGCCGCTTGCACTTTAGAGGGGAAGTAAGAAGAAGAAGAGTCGTGGAAGAACTATTGTTGTTGGTTTTACATAAATAAATGATAGATAAAACAATTAAAACTAAATTAGGAATAAAGGAGGGCAATTGGGTAACTTTTTAGTCACTTTAACCGCCACTTAACGGATAATTTGACGGAAGGGTAAATTTGTTATGTTTTAATATTAAAAGGGTATGTTTGTGCGAAAATTTAGTAGAGGGGTACGTTTGTTAATTTACGATAATAAAGGGGTACAAAATGCTATTAACCCTATGATAAAATATTGCACTATATATAAGAACACCCAGTTTTCAACATTGTGGTTGCTATCTCTTTATTTGAGACATAGATATTAGGTTAGATGAATATCTCTTTATTTGAGACATAGATATTAGGTTAGATGAATAAAGTTATTGATGTTTCTAACCCTTCAACTCTCTATTCACATCGCATAATATCATATCTTCCCTCCCAACTAAGAAGCTAAATCAACAGAAAATGCAACTAAAACTGCAATCTAGAAATGCCATATATTCAGTAAGGAAATAAACAATACACAAATCGGGAAGGAATACAGAAGTAAACATTGAATATGAGAGTATGGTCAATGATCATAAAGCTAGGGAAAGCTCAATCGAGACCAGGAACACCAAGACTTACCAATTCCAATAAGCAAAGCAAAGAATCACTTCAGAACTATAAAATTTCAAACTAACAATTTTCAAAAGTTGAATAAAAATATCCACACCTACCTTCTCTTCCAAATCTACTGCTGCAACTCTTGGAGCTGTATTGGCATCTTCTTTATGATTGTTTAATGATCCACCAACTCACTAACCAATCTAAACCAACAAATAAACCCGTAAATCTATTTGAACAGAATTCATGAATCCACTGAAGCACCAACCCAACTCACGAACCTAAGTTATTTGCCTTGCAATATAGAAGCACATAACTTCCAAACGGTTTCCCTCCTGTCATCCATCAATGTGATTCCTCTGCTGCCAAATCAGCCTTGATTTTATCACTCATTCCAAACTTCTTATTTTTCTCAGAAATGGTTCTTTCCTCAATCAACCATACCACATATACTACCTTTAGTCCTGCCCTTACCAATGCTCTCTTTCTATGTTGTTGTGAAACTTGTATACCATGTAAGTTGGTTTATCTCAACAGGTTAGAAGATCCAAAGTCTCTAAATTTCAGTCGAATGAATAGGAAATGATTCATGTTGCAAACCAACCTCATCATAACTGCAAGTTGGCAGCAAGCCAAGAATTCTCAGTACCGACACAACTTTTATAGCTACTGCAACAATGAAGTGAACTAATGGTGACATATGTTTTTGCTTCTGCCAAATTACAAATGGAGGAGCAGCTGTTGCGTTAATGGAATGATGAAGAAAACAAATAACAAAAAGAGAGATGGTTGGAACAAAGAATCTTTCCTTTAGGGGTTTCGGATATGTACTTTAAGGCTTCATTGAACTTTCACCCAGCTACTAACTGTGATGTGTTCAAATCGTCAGAAAATTTATCATTGAACTCTTGTTGGAGCTTAGTGGTGCAAGTTTGTGCCTCACCAGTAAGCTTAGCAGTCTTCTTGCCACTCTTAGCTAAGCCTGTTTGAAATGGTGACTAAGCAACCTCACAGTCTTGCAATCTCTGTTATCATCAATGACCACAAATAGCATAAAAATTTATCTCCCATCACTAACAGGAGGAACTAAAGATCTTCAAAAGATAATAATACCTGATAAATGAACCAAGCAGTCTTAGAAGCTTGCTCGAGCTGGAGAATTTCTGTTTGAGGTGGTGTTATTCAAACTTTTAAATTTCATTTTGATTTCCCTTGCTTGGTTACTGACAGTGTCATGACAGACTAAGAAAAAAGGACTAATTAATGAGTCTGCAGGGTCATACAATAGGGGAATATGGGACTGTGAAGGGGAATGATTTCGGTAGGATGTTGAGGTATGACTTGGTGACAAGGATGTAGCAGACAACCCATGTTGGTAGTTCGGCCTCTGGTATGAACAATACGTGGGGAGGATTATGCTTAAGAAGGTGAAGGTTTAGAATGTGTTCAACATTTCCATTGGGAGGGTTATGCAGAAGAGGGTGGAGCAGTAGAATGGCAGGATCAATTTCCTCAATAAGAAGAAGAGGAGGATCAAGTTGCACTTCTTCCAAACACTATTATGCAAAAATGGAGATTAAAAGGGGGCATAAAATATAATCTATGTTCTAGAAGGAGTGAAATAAGAGGAGGACAACAATTGCAGTTCAAAAGGATGGTATTTTACTCCTTGCAGGAAGTTGTAACTGTCTAAGTAATCACCCAAACTTAGAGTAAAAACCTTTTCTTGTATGCGTGTAAAGCTAAGCTATATAGGATCTAAGGGTGATGAATAATGCGATGGAACCTGTCATGTAACAGAAAATATGCCAGAGTTTTGGTGTATGGAGAATTCCCTGATCCTTAAAGTCGAAAATCCACAAAAAGTCCTAAACTGACTCAAACTCGAGCTGTTGGTGTAAATAATAAAGACTAATTGAAGCTACTGACATGATAAACACAAAGGCACTAAGCTGTTGCTGTCATAAACACAAAAATCCATGCTATTTTCGACTTCAAATTATGTCTTTAGAGTAGTGAAAAATCCAAAACTATGTACAATCTAAAACTCTAGAATTATCTACATTGAACTCTAGCCTTCAATTTAACTATATTGACAGTAACCTTTGGAGCACAAGTAGCACAAACTACAAACTGCAATATGTTATTTATATAATCAATGGATTTGGTATAAGACTCAATTGGAAGAGAGTAGCGAAATTTTGTGAAAATAAACAATTAAGTCAGCTTTGGCATAGTTGACATCAGAGTTGCCAGAATTTGAAGGGGAGAATGAGTCTCGGTGGGAATTATGGAACCCGCTTGTTATTCCCCATCAAACCCCTGATCCACTGTAACACCCTACCCTATACGTTTTGCCTAATCATATTGTTCATACAATTGCAGCGGAATTAATCTCCGGTGTTACATTAATTATCAAAATTTACCTAAATAAAATTTCGACATGAATTACTCGCGTAATGGGCTAACAGTTCTTCCATATGATCCTGCAACATAATTCATCTGAATCCATGCATTCATAGACAAACACATATACTCACAACCATATGCATTGGCTTTTCATAGCCATAGTCACAGTTTCATACTACACAACTGCATACCATACTTATACATACCATAATCGTCACAACTTACACAGTTACACAAATATACACATATCATCAACTTTCCACAACTGCGGATATCTCACACTACATCAAAAGCTAGTATGCACATGAAAAACGTTCTCAAAACATTTTTACAAAAAGGTGTGGATCACTGGCCAAAATCCCGAGTAGTAGTCCAAGCACAGAGTAGTTGAAGACCATACCTCACCTTGCCTTCAACTCTTGCTCAGCTCCCACCTATACACCTATCTACTGCTGCTGCTGATGATCTACTTACACATAGCATAAGCAGAGAAGAATAATAAAAGAGGGTCAGCTCATAGCTGAGTGAGATAATCATAGCATCGTGAGTTCATAACAGAGCATACCCCTACCATACATCTAGCAAACAAGCCAAAACACTAGGATCGGACCTCAGCCATCCTCATATCCCAATAAGCAAAAGACTCAACCACTTTGACTTATGCATATGCATCTTATCATGTTTTAATCATAGGCGCCTGGCTACTCCCATGCTAATAACTCTCCCGGAAAACATACCCCACATCCCATCGGATGTAGTCATACATACCCCAACATCCCGTCGGATGTGGTCATACATACCTGATAGACCGTTAATTACACATGTTTTACCCCTGTTCTTACACCGTTTGAGATGTGATTTCTCATGTTTTAGGCCGATTTTACGCTAGGTTGTGCTTGTTTGTGATATTTCAGGTCCTAGTACGTGAATGGAGGCTCAGGAGCGAGTTTGGGGTCGATTGGACGAAGATCGGGCGCGAGGCAAGTCACAAAGGAGGCCACACGGGCACACCCACAACTCACACGGCCGTGCAACTCATATTTGTGGCCGTGTGAGATTGTGCGAGAGCAACCACGGCCTGCCCTGATAATCCACACGGCCGTGTGAAGAAGTGGTCTGGCCGTGTGACTTTCGCCGAGAGCAAACACGGGCAGATGGAAGTCACACACGGCCGTGCGACCCTGGCCGTGTGAGAAGCCTGAAAATCGAACTAAGTGGAACGCAACATTTTAACTCACACGGGCAACTGGGTATGCCACACGGCCATGTGGCCCTGCCCGTGTGAGTCGGGATTTCCTGGTTTTAACCCAATTCCGGGCTGCAAGAGAGAGGATCGGACTTTTTGGGCAAAAACAGAGCCCTAGAGAGAGAAAGGACGAAGAACACATCCTAGAAGCCATCTTGGAGCTGGGTTTCATCAATTCAAGCTTGGAGATCGTCATAGGAGTGGAAATCATCATCCCAGAGCAGATTCTTCCCATAATTATGAGTATGATTGCTTTGTATCTTGTTTTCCTCTCTCTCTCTATGGAGTAGAACCCCTCTCTCACTTGGGGATGAAGAACCCTAGTTCTATGTGTTAGGGATTGATTGTAATGACTTGGGATGAGATTACTATTTGATTTTAATCGAATGATGCATGTTTATTGAGTCAATTGAAGTCTGATCAACTTTTCCTGATTCCTGCTGCAATATGAGATAGATAGAATCTGATTAGGTTGCTAGAGTCTCATCATTCGATAGTAGGAGATTGGCTATACGAGAGTTAGCCAGTTTACTGCTTTGTACTGGAATCCAATTCCAGTAGTGGAGTTTTGTTCTTACTGCTTCAGCTTTCTATCCCGGTGAAGACTAGTCGTCTGCCGGGTAGTTAGACTGAGAGGGCTTGGTCAGCTTAAGAGATTCCAAGCTACTGTCGGATCTTCCGCAGTCTAATCAACAGTAAATCAACCCAGGGGAAATTGCAATTAAACCTAACTAAGGAGCTAGGGGGACTCATTCCCGAGTGACTCTTTCCTGCTTGAGAAAACCGAATAATTTCCTGCTTTCTTTCTGCTTTTGCTTTTAAACAAGAATCACTTACTTTAGTTGGCTAGATAACAGAGAATCACTGAGTAAGCAGTAGATCTAGACCCCGGGTTGATAATATAACTTGCCTGTTACTGCATTCCCGGTCTGCGATTACACTTGGTCGCAGATTGGTGTTGTGTTTTGGCGTGTCAAGTTTTTGGCGCCGTTGCCGGGGAACCTCTAGGTTATTGGGGAAACGTGAGAATTTTTTACTCTAGCCTTTTATTTACTGCATTTTATCTCTTCCACCTGTGTGCCTTCACAGGTTGCTTCTGCTGATTGTGTGCAGGTAGTGCATGACCCGTAGCCAGTCGGGAGATCTACTACCACTAGACCAGGAGCTTGAACGAACCTGCAGAAACTTCAAGCGGGCTCTAAAGGCACGACTGGCTGCGGAGGAGGCGTTAGCACAGCTACAGATTACTGAAGAGGAGGAGATGGTTGATCCACAGGGTCATGATGTGATCGATCCCGAGGAACAGACCATGGGACATTACTGGACTTCCAGGGCTGCAGACATGAGGTCACCCATTCAACACCCTCATGTCCCAGCCAATAATTTTGAGGTGAGCACCTCAGTAATCACCATGCTGCGCGGTTCGGTGATGTTCCGTGGCAAAGAGGGGGAGTGCCCTCGATCACATCTCAGGCGATTCCACGAGCTCATCGATGGAATCAAGATCAACGGGGTCCCAGCAGATGCCATCCAGCTGAGGTACTTCCCTTTCACCCTGGAGGGGCAGGCCAAGGAGTTGCTAGACACTCGACCTCCGGGATCCATCACCACGTTCGCCAACCTGGCGGACAAGTTTCTTACCCGCTACCATCCTCCGTCCAAGACGGCGGACTTGCAGAAGCAGATCACCCACTTCACTCAGGATGAAGATGAGACCATCCGGGACGCCTGGGAGAGATACAACAGCCTCTTCCTGAGGTGTCCCAATCATGGTTTCAACGATGCTTTCAAGGAGGGAACCTTTTATCACGCCCTCTTCCCGGAGGACAAGCAGCTGATTGACTCGGTTTGTGGCGGGAACATGCTGACCAAAACACCGCCACAGCTGAATCAACTCTTTGAGGAGATGGCGGAGAACGGGTACGATTGGGGCACTGCCAGGAGATCGAGGAGAGCACCAGGCCGGGGTGTGCATGCTGTGGGCACCCAGTCATCTGATTTGGTGCAGGTGGTATCGAAGCTGGTTTCAGCTATCGATCGTTCTGGTTTGATTGCAGGTACCGGACAGCAGCAGGCTATGCTCTGCCAGTGGTGCGAGAGCACCCATCAAAAAAATGTTTTGAGAACGTTTTTCATGTGCATTGATACTAGCTTCGGATGTAGTGTGAGATATCCACAGGCGTGGAAGGTTGATGATATGTGTATATTTGTGTAATTGTGTAGCTGTGATGATTATGGCATGTATAAGTATGGTATGCAGTTATGGAGTATGATAACTGTGACTATGGCTATGAAAGCCAATGTTTATGGTTGTGGATATATATTTATATTTACGAATGCAGATATTTGGATAAATTATTTAGCAGGTCTAGTTGCAAGAAATGTAGCCGATTACGCGAGTAATTCATGTCGAAATTTTATTTGGGTAAATTTTGGTAATTAATGTAACTCCCGAGATTATTTTCGCTGCTAATGTATGAACAATATGATCAGGCAAAACGTACAGGGTAGGGTGTTACAGAATATATAGAGAAATAAAGTGTAGAGAGATAGTGGAAAGTGGAAAGTGAGGAAAGAGGAGAAGTCCCCTCCTTTGGAGGTCTTCAAGCCCTTATATACCTGTAGCGGGTATCGAGCGTTGGGAATCACCGATTGTGCGCCCTACTACTTAGTCTGTGTGCGGAGTATCTTAGTAACACCCCCAACCATTGCCCCCCAAGCTGGTGGTGAGTTTTAACTCATCACTAGCTTATTATTTATTTATTATATTTTTATTTAAATCTTCGTCGGTAATTTTGGATGGATCCCTATGTACCCCCAGTTGCCCCCAGCTGGTGGCGCGCTTGGCTGACGCGGTGCCAGCTTCCTGCGTCATGCCCCCCAGTTGGTGTGTTTCATTAAGCCGTTGAGCGCTCTTTTATTGGAATCTCCAAGGCGCTGAGCCATTTCTTGTTGAAAATTTTCCAAGGTATTGAGCGCTCTCCTATTGGAGTTCTTTACACACACACAAGTGTGTACTCTTTCATTGGTGCGCTATTGACAGCAGCACGATTACGTTACGGGCTTACCGCGCACGTTTAGTTCCCTTTATTGGAGATAGAGGTAGTTGAACACTTTCATATTGTAGATTCACCGTTGCTCTTATTGAAGTCTTATTTGTGTGCTTCGTTGAGACTTATTTGTAGATCTTCGATGCTCTTATTGAAGTCTTATTTGTGTGCTTTGTTGAGACTTATTTGTAGCTTTTTCGATGCTCTTATTAAAGTCTTACTTGTGTGCTTTGTTGAGACTTATTTGTAGATCTTCGATGCTCTTATTGAAGTCTTATTTGTGTGCTTCGTTGAGACTTATTTGTAGCTTCTTCGATGCTCTTATTGAAGTCTTACTTGTGTGCTTTCGTTGGATGATCGTGTCGGTGGTGACGCGAAGTTTTATTCGGATGCTCGGTAGAGCCTCTGTTCGTTGGATCATAGAATTGGCGGTCCTGACTTTGGCGGAGGGTGTAGCGGCGGCTATCGAGGCGATCATTTGTGCCGGGAGTGTTGCGTCTCCATCAACAGACTGTGACGCGCGGCTGTGAGACTAGTGCGACGACGTCGCACGGTCGTTGGTGCCTATAGATTGAGGGCAGAGAGTAACGCGCCGCGACGACAATAAATAGAGCTTGCGAGGAGGATGACTCGGCTGTAGCACGCTTCGGAGACGGACGCCGCGAGGTGAGTCGAGGGAAAGCAAACATGAAATTGTTGTGTTGTTTTTTTTCCTTCTTCTTATCTGAACCCTTTATTGCCACATCACATATTTAATGGTCAACTATGAAAGTTGACTGCCACGTAAGCTAGAGTTAACGGAAATGGACGGAGAGTGACCAAACTTGAACCATTTAACTAATTTGAGTGACCAAGATTGGATTTAAATATTTCCAGTGACCAAACATGAACGTTTTTTGTAATTTCAGTGACCAACCATACAATTAACCCTTTAACAGACCTACCATAAAAGCAAAAGACAGAAAACTAAAAGTAACTTTGTTTTTATTTGTTAGTAGTAGAACCCACTTAAGGCAGCTATAGACAGCAACGGCCCTAGATATAAGTAACAACAACATATTTACAAATTACAAGGGATAGACAGCCATGAACTTGATCACCCAATACACAGCTAACACGGTAGCAACTTCCAAACACTAAAACGCAACTTGATAGCAAATAGACAAAAATAGGTTGAAAATTTTGTCATTAAGAGACGCAAAATTATAAATATTCTTCATTTAAAAATAAATTGATTATATTTTTCGTTGATTATATTCAACGGAATTTCTTTTATTATTTTTCTGCTATTCGGCGAACAAAGATACGGTGACCCAAGAAAAACGAATTTTTGTCTAATCCAATCCCTAAAGCCAAAATTATACGGGACTTGGGTGTTTAAAAGAGAAATATCAGGGATCTGAAGTGAAAAAAATCATCACGAATCAACTGTTGAAAGCTGAAACGGTCAGCTCTCCAATCATATCAAGTTCTTCCAGGCTTTGTCCTTTTTACTCGAAATTGCCATATACTACCCCAGAAGGGAAATTACAATATGGTACGAAAATAAATGACCGACGCCACCTACTTTTGTATATGTAGACGTATTCATAACAATAAAAGAAACAGAGACGTAGTGCACTTTTGTAGCTTCAGGATAGAGTATACGACTCGGTACCGTCAAAATATTGGTCAACGATGCACTATCAATGCCAAAATTCCACTATGACGAGATTATTTCGACGAATAAGAACCCCAATTGTTAATTAATACTAATCCTGTAACTAACCACTTTCACCCTTTTGCCTCTTCCCACTACAACATACAATTAATTTCCCGGCGAAGCCGAAAACCAAAATCCAAGAGAAAAGAAGGAACGAACGACGGTTTTGAAACGCAATGCACCCGAACCTCCTCGAGAACAGGAAAGTCTCTAAACAGGAAGTACCATTGGATAATCGTTCAAAATTTTAAAACAAGGTAAGAAAGAAGTAGCAGGCGGCGATTCGAAAAAGAAGCTGCCAGAGGCTTCGCCGTACCAGCTCACCTCAGCTCAGGCGGAAGAGATCGAATTGCTAAAATCGGCAGAAACAGAAGCTTGTATAGAGAAGAATCTGTAAGAGCAATTGTACGTACCGGAGAATATGGAAGGAGATTAGCCGGGGGGAAAGGAAGGCGAGAGTGTGCGAAAGCGGGGAATCAGCTGCTGATAGAAGAACAGAAGAGTGCAGATCTTTCTTCTCCTCCTTCTGTTACTCCTACTCCACCTCCTCCGCGGAGAGTTGCGGAGTCGGCGAGCGAGCGCTCGAGTGAGAGCAGAATGAACCTTGGCGGAGAGATTTTTTTTTTTTGGTTTCCCTCCTGCACTGGCGGTGGGTGAGAGGTGAGGGGGATATGAAAGGAAACTAGGGGACTGGTGGTGAAATCTGAGAAATAGGGATGGGAGAAATGGAAATCTTCCAATTTAATAAATATATTATTAGTTTTTATTAAATAACTATTCTCAGGAAGATCGGTGGCATCATTGTGTATATTGAAATTTATGGGAACAGGAAAGGGAAAAGTATATTCATTAATTACTATGAGTATTTATTTTTTCGTGATTATGGGGATTGATTTGAGAGGAACTAGACTGGAGTCTAGAGTCTGGACTACTGCGGCTATTAAAGGCGATTGAAGTAGGCAGATCACAGATGCTTTGATACAACGAGAAAAGATTCGGAAGTTGCAAATACCGTATTCCGCCACATGTTACTGTTTATTGTTGAAAGGGGAGTGAATGGTGGTGGAGAATCTGATGAGCGATAACGGCTTTTTTCAAATTTTCGATGAAAGAAGGGATAATTTGTTTTGGAAATATCAAAATAAGCGTAATATGTTAGGTGAATCTCACATCGACAAAATATGAGAGTGAATTATGATGTTTAAGTTAGAAATTGAACTGATGAGACACGTTCGGTGGTGAAATTGAGGAGTTCTTGTAAGAATTTCGAAATTAAACATGGTCATTGTCATGCACTAAAATGGCTTAAAGCGGATAATATGTTGTCCAGAAAAGGTTAGGGATGTTCTAAGTGGTATTTAGAGCCTCTTTGCGTCCCTGTTGGGCGATGGTGGGACAAACCTCAACGATGACATTAAGGGGTCGTTTGTTGAAGTCATTTGAACGAGTCATTTGGTTTACTGACAAAAAAATGCATGAGTCATTTGACTCATACGAAAATTCCTATCTATGAGTCATTTCCAAATGGCGCTCAATCTTTTCAATTATGTCCTTGTCATTTTTTCATAGCTCACTTTTATCCTTGCATTTCTATTATTTATTTTCCCTATCATTCTTTCGTCTATCACTGGGGTTTTTTTTTTCTTGTCATATTTCACAAGTGACAAGGAGTGTCATCCATCTTATTGTCTCCATCATTTTCTCGTGACTCTAGCTCCTCGTGTTATCGAAGTTGTCACCTTCAAGAATGAGTCGTAATTAGACCAAATGTGAGACTTCTGGAGTCGTTACTTTTACAAAGAAATTTAACATTAAAATATTATTTAAAACTAAAAAGTATTATCCATGACTCGTAATCAATATATTTTGTTTGTTGCAAAATGATTTTGTTACGTGGTTTGTTTTATGAGAAAATGAAACAAGATAATGCAATATTAAATGTAAGGGCAAAAAGGTAAGGTTATACAAATTACCCATTTATGAATGACTCATCTAAAAACTGTTAACAAACCATACATTTGCAATGTCTACATTCCCAAATGCCTAAATTTGTGCAAATGACTATTTTGTAAATGACTTCTGCAAATGTCCTCAAGTCCCTGATTCATAAGTAAGAAATCAACTTTAACTTATGAAACACACTTTGGGATGAAATGGAAGAATTCTTGCAAGAACTCTAAAGTTAAACATGCTTATTTGGAGCACAACAAAAATGAGTGGCCTTATAAGAAGTCACCTTGATATGCACCCAAGAAAAATCAAATTTCGAAATTGGGTTGTGATGATGGTGTGAAGTGCTGGCAACATAGTTTGGTTGGGCAATTTTTGGCAATCCTTCACTGCTTGTAATTCTCAAGATTGTACGTAGGAAAGGAATTATGGGATTAATGTTTTTATGGGTGTGTGATGGGCTAGTTTTATTCTGATTCTTATTTATGAATATATGTGTGTGGGTATTCGAAGGATGGTCTTGAAATGTTAACGATAATATGATCTTTTGAAGGTGATGGGGAGTAGGGATTCAAGCTCTATAACTCAAATATTGTGCAATTTCTTTTTGCTTGAGGGTTTACTGATTTGCCCTTGAAGTTGTTACCAAAGGAAGAGTAGTTAGGGTGTGAGTGGCTAGTTTGATTTTAACACCCTTCTCTACGGACAATTCACAAGAAAATGGATGAGTTTGGCTACCAAAGTGGGTGTTTATCTTGAAGCTAATGGTGTTCTTATTGATAAAGTTTGGTCCTTTATTGCAGGTGGTACTACAATTTTTATTTAGTATTGAGTATTGCTACTTACGAACATGGTGATCTTGTTGTGGTAGTACAAATTTTCCAGTGTATGGTTGACTAATTTAGCAACTTGCGTGCATCATGACAAATTTTAGAGACAATGTTGGTTTTGGATGTAGTTCATAAATGAATTTTATCCGCTTACAATGAAGTTTTACATAGTTCGTGTTGATCAGCCCATCGCCTGAGCGCAAGGTGCTTATGTCCGCAATTGTTTCATTACAGAGAATATCATGGATGCGTTAGAATATTTCAACGTGATGGAAAAAGAAGACTAAAGGAAGCGTGTGATACTTTGGGGTCGAAATGGATATGTCCAAGGCTTATGACTTGGTTGAATGGCATTTATGGAAGGTTTTATGACAATGATGGGCTTTGTTGAACGTTGGGGCCAACTATTTATGATGTGTGTTCAAACGATATTTTGTTTAGTTCTACTGAATGATCATCAATCACAATGATTTAATTTAGGATGGGGTATGCATAAGAGAGACCCCCTATCACCATACATTTTTTTTTGCTATGTACAAAGGGGCTCTCAGTGTACACATCTTTAGCCGTCCCGAAAAATCACCTCTATAGTTTGTAGCCGACAAAAGGAGAACCATTGTTGTCACATTTTTTGTTGGCATTAGTTTTCAAAAGTCAGAATGTCATTTAGTGAGAATTGAAGTCGCACAGAAAGCTGGAAGTACTGGCATTCTCATAATGGAGATGGTGGATAACTGTGATAATTATTTGGGACATGATACAGTGGTTGGAAGGTCAAAGAAAGAGTTGTTCACTGAGCTTAACATAAAGAGTTGAATGATTGAAAGGAGAAGGTGTTATATGTTGTAGCAAGAGAAGTTTTGACTAAATCATTAGCATAGAAGCATTTAACCTATGCAATATTTGTGTTCAAAGTTTAGGAAGGTATTCTTGATGAAGTGCACCGCCTCATTATGAACTTGTGGTGGGGTATCTTTGAGGATTTAATATGGTGCTCATAGCTCAGAAACTTTGGAGCCTCTATCAGCGCCCACAATCATTTGATGCATGCATTCTTAGAGCAAAGTATCACAAACTTGGTTGTGTGTCTTGGATACAAGGGTGGATTATCATTTTAGCTTCATATGTCGTAGCATGCTTAAAACTTAAGAGTTTCGTTCCAAATATTTTGATGTGATCGTTGGGTGTCTTCTATCCAGGAGCTATACATCCCTTCAATAACACACATGTTTTTGGTGGGTTCCATAGTGAGTGAGCTCATTGACCCTGACACTAAACTGTGGAATATTCCACTTATAGAGAGTTGTTTCCCGATTGAAGTCTCGAGTACTATTCTTTAGATACCATTACATAGGCATGGGGGAGTCGACAAGTTTATATGGCATGGGAGCATTACAAGTTATTATGTGGTTAAGATGGTGGAAATTCGGTTGAACTGGACTAACAAAGTCAAACCGGTTTTGGGTTGGACCAACTATCCAGTTTGGGATTAGACCGACCGAACCAATATTCTAATTCCGTGAAGGGACACATCCCTTTGGCCTAGTGGCGGTTACATTATTTTATGGATAAGGATAACCTTATGGATAGAGGCAACCCTTCATATGGATAAGGATAACCTTTCATATGGATAGAAGCAACATTTCATATGGATAAAGGCAACCTTTCGTATGGAAAAAGGCAACCTTTCATGAAACAATGCATGGATTCGGCCCTATAAATATGTGTGGGGTGGATGATGCCACAGACCATCAAACAGATTCTTCTTCTTTCTTCCAAAAGTTTCTAAGTATGCTTTAGAGTTCTTGAGCCTAGAACCTAAAGTGGTGATAGTTTTATCCTCGGGAGAAATTTCCTGTAACCCAAGGCTTTGTAGAGGGTGGAAATATTCTTTTCGGAAAGTGAACGTTGTTCACGACTCTATCACAATTCTGGTCACCCAGTCTCTGGCTATCGTACATATACCCTCGTCCCAAAATTTCCCAACAATCGAAAAGAATATTTTCCGGTACGATGGCTCGAACCGCTCTTTATAAGAAACCGGTTCCGGTTTATGGAATCATGAGAATTTTCGATGATGGGTATTTCATCGATGGAAGTAGAAGATGTTTTTTCTTCGTACTAGTCTCATGGTGTATTCCATATCAGGAAGGTAACTTGGAAGAGGGATGATTCGAAGATGAGTAAGGAGAATGATTCGTAAATTTGGAGAAATAGAAGAATGAAAATTCCCTCTGGGTAGGTCACATACTCAATGGTTAATTTGTCTAATTCTCTATTCGACGTTTACGAAGTGCTAGACAAATATGGATTTGTCTAGTGGTTTGATGGTGTGGTTTTGTCTATGTGGTTTATGTTAAACCAAGGAGACAAAATTGTATATACAATGTTTGATGATTCTGGTAGAAGAGTCGTTGTGTTTGTATGTAGATGACATATTTATCTTTGGGACCAATCAAAGATAAGTGATTTTGTCTAGTGGTTTATGTTTTTTTTAATCAAGGAGACAAAATGTGTACACAATTTATGATGATTCTAGTAATGAAGTCATCGTACATTTGTATGTATAAGACATGCTTATCTTTGGAACCAATAAAAGTTAAGTGAATTTTGATAAAAAGTTGTTATTTTAATTCTCCATGAAGGACATGGGGGAGGTAAATGTGATTCTGTATATTGAATCAAGCGGAAGGACAAGAAAGAGTCCTTCTCTCAATTTTTCTGCATGAGAAGGTACTTGCATAAATTCCATTGTAGGAATTGTAGCGAGTTAAAGACCCCAATGGATCCAAGTATGGAACTTATGGTTAATACTGGAAATCAGTTTTACAACTGGAGTATTCCATGTCAAATTGGGGGCTCGATGTATGCATGACTTACATGATGCTAGATATCGAATATGCGATAGAACAATTAAGTTGGTACGTTATGAATCCTAGTTCTCATAATTTGAATGAAATGAGGCGTGTACTAGGATATGTCAAACGCACACTGTATTAACTTATAGTGGCTTTCCATCAATTTTGGAAGGATTTGTTGATGTTAGTTGGATTTCTCATGTTAAAGGTGATACTTCAACATTGAGATGGGTCCTCTTCCTCGGGAGAGGTGCCATATTTTGGGCCTCTAGAAAGCAAACTTGCATCACTAATTTCACTATGGAATCAAAGTTTGTGTGGTCTTGGTTTCTCTTAGAGAAGAGACATAATTGTTGAGAGGTTGGTTTATGACATATATTTATGGCCTAAACCAATCTCACATATTACTATCTTTTGTGATAGTAATGCTTATTTGGCTAAGGCATATAGTCAAGTGAAAATGTCAAGTACGGTCATGTGGAAGTAAGACACGGTAAAATCTTTGAACTGATCATTCATAGAGTTGTGTCTAAACAATATGACCAGACTCGAGATAATTTGGTTGATCATTTGACGAAGTGGTTAACTAGTGACTTGGTGATCAAGCCTGTGAAAGGGATGGTTTTAAAGTCCATATAATTTCTGATCATGGGAAACCCAATTCCCCTCTAATACAACGTTAGAGGCTGAATTCAATGTGGAAAGCTCATTCTCAGAAATTGAAGCACACAATTTGTCATCCCGAGGTATGTGCTTGTTATCTGCATGAGAGAAGAGGATGAAGTTCAAAACTTCTTAATTGAATCTTTGACAAAGTGTATTATGTGGGTACACGAATAAAAGATTCGACCTACGTATGCATGAAGTGTAGCCGCTTCAAGAAACCCGAACTTTGGTTTCGTGTGCGCTTATGAGAAGGATTGGACACATGGCGGTTAATAGTGTCAAGGCACTTAGAAGTTTGAAAACTTAAGTGTATATTATCTTCGAATATTCATATGAGTCAATGGGTTCAATCTTTACCGACACCCTTTGTATTAGAGTATTCGTCAAGTGTAATATACTAAGATGAAAATTCAATCGTCACGACATTTTCATTTATACTTAAGTTTTGTTGGAAGAATGTTGTGATTTTAGTGAATTCTATAATAGACTAAAATGGGGTAGGAATGTTGGAAATTTGGTTGAACCGGACTAACCAAGTCAAACCGGTTTTGGGTTGGACCGACCAACCAGTTTGGGATAAGACCGACTGAACCAATATTCTAATTCCGTGAAGGGACACATCCCTTTGGCCTAGTGGCGGTTGCATTATTTTATGGAAAAGGATAACTTTATGGATAGAGGCAACCCTTCATATGGATAAGGATAACCTTTCATATGGATAGAAGCAACCTTTCATATGGATAAGGGCAACCTTTCGTATGGATAAAGGCAACCTTTCATGAAACAATGCATGGATTCGACCCCTATAAATATGTGTGGGGTGGATGATGCCACAGACCATCAAACAAATTCTTCTTCTTTCTTCCAAAAATTTCTAAGTATGCTTTAGAGTTCTTGAGCCTAGAACCTAAAGTGGTGATAGTTTTGTCATCGGGAGAAATTTCCTGTAACCCAAGGCTTTGTAGAGGGTGGAAATATTCTTTTTGAAAAGTGAACGTTGTTCACGACTCTATCACAATCCTGGTCACCCGGTCTCAGGCTATCGTACGTATACCCTCGTCCCAAAATGTTCCAACAAAAGATGCATACAAGTTTTAGCTCGTGGAGTTTAAGACCGAACATGAAATCTTGCTGCAAGATGAGGAAATTGTGTTGAAGAAGTTATGGGAAATGGAAGTTCCGTCCAATAATCCAATTTCATGCTACGATTCCAACTTTCAGAGCTAGATTGCATGTCCATCACTCAAAAGTTGCTGAAAGCGGACACTGTTCAGACCAGATTGGCACTTTATGTAGGAGTATTCGAAGCTACCTCACTAAAATGAGCAATGGAACTTGAAGACATGTTCCTAAGGAAGCAATTACTATGCTTCATATAATGGCTAACTCTAAAAACTTCTATGAGATGAAGCATTGTTTACATCGATCAACCTTCAATTTTCTTGATAGGTCATATGAACATAACATGGAGGATATAGTAACGTATTATTAATAAAAGGCAAAATACACTTACATAGCTACATGCTCTGATTTAACTCGCAATTCCCTTGCTACTCCCTTCAGATCTCAATTTCCTCCCCTGAATTGGAAATTTCTTAAGTCCATCGGTTGACGCACTCAACCTCGCTAGCTAAATTAGGCCGTCAAAATTCTAGGATTTCCACGTCTTCCTCTTCCAACTACTTGCCAATGTCCCCTCGGAGACGATTTATTCACGATGAACTACTTCCCAGGTAGCCCATCAAAGTTTCTCACTGGAAGTGGAAGGGTAGTGGTCGACTCCAAAATTGATGTGAAAGGCGGACTAATTGACTACGACGAGAGAGGGGGGTTGGGAGGTTGAAGCCAATGCCATATAGTATTGGTGCTTTTATGTTTTTTATATTGTTTTTTAATCTACTTGGATTGGTGGGGACGAAACAGTGCCAACTCAACATTTTCGTTAGTCTAGTCATATTGACTTCATTAAATGGATGAACAGAAGTGACTATTTTATTTATTTCGAAAATTATGTCTATGACTGTCACTGAAAATTATGACTACGAAATTGTATTTTGCATTAATAAAAATTTACTCATTTCTAACAAAAAAGTGTTATGAACGATATATAGAATTGAATTAACTATTTATTAATTCTTCATTTCATTTTTCTTTGTCGTAAGCAAATCTAAACAAAAAATGCTTAATTACAAAAATAAACAAATAAAGCGCTCAATTACAACAAAAAATAAAATAAAGTGCTATATTCAATTTCCAGGTAGGTACCTACTAGATCGTTGACTCTACCCTCCTGTTGGTTACGTAAAAAACATTGTGAGCAGCTTGGTGGCCTTTTTTATTTGTTAGTTTGGTTGTCTTTTTTTTGTTTAGTTAATAATAATTTGGGTTGGGTGCGATTTCTGACCGCGACTGTGGTTGGTGGAGTGAATGGCTATGATTCACTACACGTTGCTTATCCTCACCCCACTTTTTCAAAATCCAACGATCTTCTGGTCTCGTCTGGTCTGGTCCTACAAATTACAATTTACGTAGGAAAAAAAGAAAAAACCTTTTATGAAGCTTCATTCAGTTTGGCTTGCACCCACCGCGCGTGTCGTGCCACGTGATTTACCTAACACTACAACCCTTTCCGTTTCAACTAGTTTGAAGTCTATTACACTATGTTTCCAAAGGAAGAGAAGAAAAGGAGGGGAGGTGATAGAAAATTAGGAGGCGAAGGGAATTGAGAGGAAAATATTGTTTTATGGAGGAAAGTGGGAAGTAAAGTGTGTATTGGGAAGTGTGATGAATATTTTATTTAATTGGTTATGTATCAGTAAAATAATTTGATTGTATGTTAATATTTTACTTATGAATTAGAGACTTTATTATTAAATAATTTGATTGTATGTTAATATTCTAATTATGATTGTATGTTTATCTGATTGTATGTTAATATTCTACTTAGTAAATAGACTTTATTATAAATAGATTGTACAGAAAAAATTAGTGATAGGGTATTTTGTTCTAAAATCTTGATTTGACCACATCAATTATTTAAAAATAGAGACTTTATTATAAATAGAGACTTTATAATAATTGATTAAGCCACAATCATTCTAAATTAATTAAAAATTATTCAACTTATATTATACAATATTTAAAAAACATAACCGTACCGTCCGGTCGGACAAGAAATATCGAATATCGGACCCAAAATAGTAGTCGATTTTAGCGTTAGAAATGAGTGAACTTTAATAACTAAAAACATAAACATACAACATTGAGGAGATTAATTGGGTTTCTAATTTTGCTTACTATTCATCCGTCAACTATAATAATATATCATAAGAAGAAAGTATATCACCTTTTAAATACATCACGTCAAAAATATGAAAAAGACATCACCTTCAGAAAGTAAAAGAGAATAATGAACTTCCTAATTAATAGTCTATATACCTGTTTGCTTTTATTTCTAAGTCCCAACAAAAAAAAAAAGATAAACAAAAAAAGAAAGAAAGAATGGGCAAATGTCAGAAAAAGCACCACCAAGCCATTTTCTCTTCGATTTGGGGGAAAGGCTTACACAGTAACTAGTCCATCCATTTTCTCTCCTTCCCGTACTGTAGGTCTCTTCGAAAACTAGGGAAAGTGTCTTGGTTCTCCAACTTTCCATCACTCTTTTCCCTTCCCCTCCTTTTCCTTCTTTCTAGAACATAGTGTAAGGGTTCGTTTGATTTATTGTATAGGAAATATGGGGAATAATATTAAAATGAATGATCAGTTCAGGCCCAAAGGGCCACGGTCCATATCGGCCTCAAGCATACAATGAAGAGAAATGGGAGGGTTATCGACCCAACCCATTTGTTGGTTCCAACCTGACCCAGCGTGAGCTAACCAGTGGGCCACTGCATTTGTTTTCCTGGGTGAGAACATCCACTTGACCTTCATCACTCTTCATCAAATTCACCAAAATCTGGCAATCAGACTCAACAATCAGTGGGCTAAGCGACCTTCGATTTGCTTCACACAGCCCCATCATCATCGCCTTAGCTTTTGCTTCAATTGGTCTGTAGATCCCTCTTTCTCTTCTGACCATTGCCCCCACAAAATATCCTCTCCAGTTGCGGATAATGGTGCCCAAACCAACCCCTTGCTGCTGGATCACTCCCGCATCCGAGTTCAGCTTAAAGACTCCATCAAGAGGAGGGAGCCATCGACAATTTCGAGGATCACCGTTTTTGGGCAGACGAGCAGTGGCAGTCACAGACAGTGAGGACTGGGCTTCAAGGAACGAGGACAGCCACCCATTTCTCTCGGTATGATCTCCTACTCATCCAATTTCCGATTGTTGTATTTATGATTACACCTCTCTTTCCACAGAAACCAATGATAGCGCAGAGTTTTTGAATTTCCTCCAATGGGGACTTTTTAAAGATCTCCTTTAACCAATCAATGCATGATTTTCCTTCTCCCAGCTCATACAAATCATCCACGTCGCAATCTTTCCATCGCCTTCGAATCCAGTCACAATCACGAAGGGCATGAAGTTGGGTTTCTGAAAAATTGCAGAAAGGGTATTCTGTGGCAGCGTTATCAATCCACTCCTCTATGTTAACACCCACTGGTAAGATATTCTTACATACCTTCCATAGGAAGATACGAACCCTAGGTTGAATCTGAAGTTTCCATAAGATGTTCTAGAACTCAGCATCCTCCTCGTCCCTGTTGTGGATTCGTCTCAAAGTATTTTGTTGGTGACTTCTGATGTGGTGGGATTGTTACAATGGGTGCATTGTCGACACTGTATCATTTTTCTGAGTTTTTTTCCTGCAACAATGCATCCAATATTTTGTTGATGTGATGGAAAGAATCACGCAAAATGAGTGATATTACTATCTGTCTATCTTATGTAAAACTTGAGATTGTTTAGTGAGGATTGTTTGATTCTTTTTTTTTCCTATTATATCCCTAGTTATTTATCTATATCACATAATATCCTTGAACTTTTATAATATAAACCACTCTCAATTTTTTCCGGGAACACCCATGCATAGTTCCCTCCACTTTTTTCATCAATGTCTCTACCACCCGCTCAATTTAACACCCTCTCCCTTCAAAATTTCATCATCGGTCTAACATCTTCAACTAGTGTATGTATCCTCAAGTAGAATACATATGTCTATCTCCATTACTTTAAGAGGGGTAGAATTACTACAAATCGGTGTTCGTCTATAACCCTTAAAAACAAGAATAAAAGTGATATTTCATACAAAAAAGAAATACAACTTTTTGAATGCTAAAATAACTATCATCAAAACTAAACAAGGTAAACTAAATTACATTATTTTCTTTAATTGCATGTATTTACAATGCATGCATTGATCACAATGCATTGATTTAAATATCACCAAAACAAAACGACCCCTAACTTGTTGGTCAAAATGTTATTTGAAATGTATATTTCTATTCAACAGTTAATTTAATCGTAAAATTAAATTAAATAAAAAATATTAAAATTATAATATTAAATACCAAATAAATACTTATGCAAGAGTTAGTGAGCTAGTTAACAGTAGTGAAAAAGTAAGCAATTTTTAGGATTTTAGGTTTCTGTTTGTTTTTAGTTCAAATAGATATACCAAATTTGTTTAGTGTAATCGGTATTGATTCATGTTCTTGTTTAAAAGACCATGGCTCAAATCCTAGAATTGATGTATTTTTTCCTATAAATAAGACAAATAACTGTTAAAACAAATATACTTTTCTTACTTTAGCTCTCGTCAAGGAAATTTAAAGTAGGGATGACAATTATCCACCCATGGGTAATTATACCCAAATCCAAGTAGACCCGTTGATAATTGGTAGGGTATGGATGAGGTATATATGGGTTTGGGGGGTTTTTAGATGAGTTTGAGTAAGTTATGGATATTGCTTCCATCATCTAAATGGGTATTAGTTGGATATGGATATCCATTTACTTGAGGGTGTTCTAACTACACATACAAAAATTGGACCTATTTGCAAAACTTGAAAATTTTAGGTACAAAAATGTAAGACCAAAAAATTTTAGGTACTAAAATGTAATCTTTCATCGATATTTTGAGGACTTATATGCAAAATATTAAATTTAGGTACTAAATATGCGTATCTATTATGTTCAGGTATCAAACTGTAATTTGCATTTGGGCACGAGTACAAATCGAAATCCATTTGTTAAAAACCCAACCCAACCCAAGTAAATGGGTATAGGTACAAACCCATCAAACTCTATCCATTACCCATCTATTTGGATTTCATACCCAATCCAATTGGGTTGGATAGTAAAATACTCATGTGTATGGGCAAAATTGTCATCCCTAATTTGAAGTACTCAAAAACTACTCCCAACTCTCATATCATATATTTGTAGAGATGTAGATTTAGTCGGGTTATGTGCGAAAATCGGGGTGTGAAACAGCTTGGTCCATGTCAAATTGCACCAGACAAAATTGATGTTTGGACTAAACTACACCGAACCATTTACATATTTGGTCCAGTCCTTGGCCTCTTTAATTTTATAAATGTTGGAAAAATGAATTGAATTTACATTTGGACGGGGCAAACACGAATTGAATATATTGTTGATCCGGTCCTTGATCATAAGATATCTTTCACTATTGAACCGCGATTCTCATGAGTTTGGTCGATCAGGTCGAACCGTTGCACACTCATAGGGAAAATGATAGGATACAAAACCCTTTACTACAAAATCATATCTCTGGAGTTACATTTTAATCACATCTATTGCTCAAAATTAATTAAGAGACAAAGAGGGGCCGACTAGTAATACCGCACACCTGTCTTTTTTTGTCTGACACGAAATTTGAGGAGAGAGGTAAGCTTTTTTGACCCATCAAATATTAATTTTTATAATATCTCATTTTTTCATATAAATTGTAAAGACAAATCTATCATTCATACTTTCGCTCTTGTCAGAGGAAATTTGAAATACTGAATTTTTTTTTGGACAAAATACATTTATAAAGCCTAAACTTTGGTGTATGTGACAATAATAGGCGTTTTTGGAGAAATACAAAAAATAGGCTGAATTTTGAAAGTTTCATAACAAATATAGCCATTTTCGTTACAAACTTTAACGGTGTTAAATACTCCGTCAGTTAAGTTAACGTTACACAGACTAGGATGCCAAATCATCACACACATCATCGACAACTCAGTCGTTGGTGACACGTAGATACCACATGTTATTTTAATTAAAAATTCAAATGAATATTTTTCTTTTTCTTTAATCACAAAATTGAATTTTAAAAAAAAATCTGACAAAACCCTTTCGTCTTCTTCCTCTCGCCAGGACAGGAAAACCATTTATAGCCATCCCAAAATCAAATCCTCAATGCTCATCACTGATTCCATGCTCAAGCTTAACACTCGGAGACCTATCTCGTTGGATCGTCGAACGGTCTTTCCATCATCTTCCTTCCCGTCCGGTAGCAATCTAGGTGGGAGAGGGAAGAGATCCTTCGTTCCCAACCAGCGACCCATTCCCGACCGGCGACCATCATTCCCAACCAGCGACCCAACCCCCTCCATCTCCGAACAAAACCCCTTCCCAGCAACAAAACTCCCAAACCCAGAAATACCCAAAATCTCCAAATTCCCTTGAACTCGTCGGTAGATTCTCAACCCCGATACACTTTTACAGAGCCACAACCATCGACTCGAACCCTAGAATCAAAATGGTTCCTAATCCCAAATGAGAAGACTACCGATAGTGAAATCATCTAAAAGATTACATTTTTTCTAAACACATTCAAGCATGAATAGATTTTGAACTAAGAAACCCCAACCTGAGTAAACATGGAGAGGAGAGAAAACCAAGAAAAAGAAGGGTTCCAAATTCGCTGGACTTGCCCCCAACCGCCCATCACCGATAGAGTACCACCAGCAAAGGGAGTGGGTTTTGACCGGTCGATTCAGATCTGCCTCATCGTCACTGTTGTTGCAACGTCGACGCCTTTAGATCTCTGTTCGCGGTGGCCGACGATTGTTCTATAAGATCAGCAGACCTGTTCACATTTCCATCGGTCTTAGTTATTTTCAAGTGAAAGTGAAGTCCGCTCCAATGGATTCAAACATGTGGCTTAAAGGGAATATAAAAGAGGAAATAATGGTTCATCTTTGATTCTTGGGGTACTATAGCTTTCCGTTAATGGCGACACAGATTTACGGCTCCTAGGAATGGCTGGCGGTGGAGAATGGGTTCTAGGGGAGCATGCCTGTTGTTCCTTCTTTATCTTTAAATTTTGTTTTTACATAGTTAATTTGTTTTTTATTTTTTATTTTATCTATTTGCATCTACATGGCAATGTCCTTAGTAATACAGTTGCCATGTCAGTATTTCTGTTAGTCCAGTCAGACCGTTAGTTAACACCGTTAAAAAATTAGACGAAAGTGGCTATTTAGTGTATTTCTCCAAAAGTGGCTATTATTGGAAAAAATGTGAAAGTTCTGGCTATACAAGTGTATTTTGCCAAACTTTTATTATTATTATTTCCGAGTGATATCAAGAGAAGATAAGAGTTATACAAACAAAACTATTCAGGAACCCTTACAATCGAAACCTAATGCACCCACCTAAGAAGAAAGACTGTAACTCTAGGAGAAACAAAACCAGTGCTTTAAGCGCCACTCTATGGGCAGCACTGTTGGCGGCCCTAGGAACCGCCCTAAACTCTATACGAACTGACAAATAGTCTAGGATCTGACGATACTCCCAAATAATCGGACCTTCAACAGAATCTTCTACTACACCCTGCCGGATCTGGATGGCGACCACCTCAGAGTCACCTTCCACCATCACGTGAATCAAGAAACTCGAATCGACTAAGGAGATAACATCTCTCACTGCTAGGAGCTCTTCCAGGTAAGGTTTGACTACTCCTTGGTGACGCAGACCGGATGCCACCACCACATTCCCATCTGAGCCACAGACAACAAGACTAGACGAGCACCATGAGTCGCAAATAGATGCATCGAAATTGATCTTCAAAAAGTCGACGGATGAGGCGTCCAAGCTGGTGGAGGAGGAAATGGGAGGATTGACATGGGGGTGGAGGAGGGGGAGCAAACATAAATTTCTAGAACCTAGTTGTAGAATTGTCTGGCTAGGGAACGGACATGAGGTTGGTAGAATTCGTAAATCACTTTATTTCTAGATTTCCAGATTCTCCAAAATAAACAGATGCATTGGAAATGTGGAATGGGGATATTTTAGAGATCATGACATATGTCGCCACCATAGACTAAAGTTTACAGTCGGGGCAGATCAATGAAGTTGCTCAATCCCACTAAGGTCTACAACTTGGTGACTATGGGGCATCTGAAAAATAAGTGTTCAATGCTCTCTCTATGTCTCCAGCATACAAGATATCTATTGAGGTATTTAACGCCACGTGTTTGTAAGGCTATCACAAGGGGGAGAATGACGCTATGGCATTGCCACGTGAAGAATTTAAGCTTTGGAGAGACTTGAATAATCCATGTCTTTTTCCAAGTGGGTGGGTAGATTATAAGCACCATCGGTTTCCTGCTTACTATCAGATCATTAGGTGATATCCCAATTTAACTATGTACTTTCCATCCTTAGTGTAGTGTCATACTCTGGTATCTTGTCGTGATTCCTCTGGAAATATAATGAGGTGAAAATTAGAGAAAAGAAGTGTATGATAGGTGAATAAATGCCTGGAATCTTTCTTGTATTGATCCATATTGATGACCATTTAGAAACGGTGAAATGAAGATGGGTTATTAAAAGGAGGATTGAATTTCCTTTTGATTTGTGCATGCTCAATTCAGATTCATAGTTACTGAAAAACTACTCCCAACTCGACTATTATATATTTGTAGATTTAGTTGGGTAGTGATAACTCAGTATTTGCACATGTTTTTGCCCACCTTTCTTATACTGTTTGAGACTCGATTCTCGTGTATTGAGCCGTTTTCACGCTAGATTGTTCTTGCAGTGATATATTTTAGGTCTTGGAGCAGTTATGCAGGCTTGGGGTCTACTCGTCGGGGCGCATCTTCCCCAGCATTTATGGCGCATTTTGTCGCCATCCATCATGGTCGGCCGACGCGTCGCCACACCACCTCCCGTCGGCGATCATGTCTCGTAACCACCGCTATCTGTGACATGTAGCTCCCACCTCCGAGGCCCATTCGAAGTTCCAGGAGGTCCTGGATGGTTCTTTCAAGCCCCACAATCACCTCGACTTCGACGTTTTTTGGGCACTCCACTGCTACGGTGAGATGGCCGCTGCGATTACTCATCGTAAATGGCGCACCCTCCTGTCCGTTCAGGAGCCTACTTACAATGAGTTGGTGTGGGAGTTCTACACCTCCTACTTATTCCGGTCCTTGGCGCCTATCGACCAGCATGATGCCATTTCTTTCCGATTGGGCGAGATCGAGAGGAAGATGAGCATGATTTCCCTTACACGAGCTTTGGGCATCGTATACCCGCCAGGGCATGATTTTAAGGAGGAAGCTAACGAATTGGGCTTCATGTCAATGACTTCTACCACCAGATTTGTCGGTCGGAGGTTAGTGAGCAGCAGTTCGAGGCCGGGTAGACCAATGTTACCACTCACCGACCTAAGTGGCACATCCTCAACCTTCTTCTCACTCGCTCGATGGTTCCCAATGTCAGTGGCCCGCACAAGCTCACGAAGCCTGTGCTCTACTGCATGTTTGCTATGCGGACTCCGAGCTACAGCCTGCACCTCGGTTTGGTCAAGCCAAAGACGTTCACCAAGTGCCATGCTAAGCCAAAATACCTCTATTTTAATCCCCTGATCACTTGTCTAGCCTGACACTTTGAGGTGGAGTTACGGGATTTGACTGCCGCCTTTGCTCAGTTAGGCTTCCACCCGCTCAGCAGGGACGTCCGCTTCAACGCTCTTCTCTTGAACTCAGTTGATGGTCGAGAGTGGGTGGATGGTCTTTCCATGCCATCTGATGATGGTGGTGCTGATGAGGATGAGGAGTCCGATGAGGATGGTGATGATGATGACAAGGATGATGATGGTGGTGCTGATGATGATGTTGAGATGTAGCTCGCGTTGTCCCCACTTGGGGATCTTCCTCCACGACGGAGATACGAGCGAGGCGAGTCCTCCTTCGGTCCTTCTGTTTCGTCGATGGAGTTCTTCACCGACCAGTTCCAGCAGAAGGCTCTCCAGTTCCAACAGCTGATCTACATAACCAACATCTCTTGGCTCACCAGCATCAGTTCCAGCAGCAGTATGCGGCCCATCAGGCCGAGTACGGCGCCAGCATGGATGCCTATGATGAGCGTCTTGACTGCCTCGAGACTCGGCAGGGCGTAACCGTTGCTCATATTGAGCATGAGCGTGACCGAAGCCGCCGCGAGACCGAAGCCGCCGGATGATGGAGTACCAAGAGCATCTACCCCAGTCCTGCCACTAGGAGCACCATTGGACTATTCCGTGGATCCACTCTCCACCACCACCACCTCCGCCCAAGGACTTTGATGACATCATGAACAACATCGACATCGATTGCCTCGAGTAGGCTGTACTCGCTGGCTCCACTCCTCTATGGTTGTTTTGTTTTGTTTTTTTAGAAGAGTGCATATTTTTTGTGTTTTTTTCTTTTGGATATTGTGCCATTGGGATGACAACTCTTCCTAACGACTTTGTGTTGAGTGGTTGTTTTCTGTTCTAGCTCGTGTGCTCATGCTGACTGGTCCACTCTCCAATCCTGATGCGGTCTGTTCTTCCCAGTAACATTGTTCCCCTTATCTTTTCCTCTTCTCCATTAAGGGCAATGTCGACCTTAAGTGTGGGGTGTGTTTCTATCTGACTGATTAGATGTGTTTGTGTGCTTGGAGCCTAGTCCGCTGTCCAAATTTCGATTTGAGGGCTCCAAGTACGTATTCCTTGCAATTTTCTGCTCAGTATGCTTTGAATTGACAGTCTTTATAGTAATATGCAACCTAGTGAGGTAGTGTAGCACTATGGAGGATGTTGATGCAGTTAAGAAATCTCCTTTCTTCTTCATATTGTGTTGGATGATTGTGTGAATTAGTGATCTTAGTACACTTGAATTGTGTGGTATCGATGACTCTCTACCTTTTGTGGACTCATGTATCATGTTTTGAAAAAGGTGCTCTACATTGTGCTTTTACAACAATCTCTCGTGTGAAAATCGGTGAAAGGGTGTAAGGGTAGACGGGAATCTGTTCCCAATTTCCACCTATTACCTCCATCCCCCTTACATCTCTTTCCCCCCGCACGAGACTTGAGACATCTGCTCCCGGCATGGCCGGTAAGAGCTGGGCTCCCTCAAAATCTTTGCTAGGTGGGAGCACTGTTTTATGAAATTAACAGGTTGGAACCCTTGCCAAAATTAACAGGTCTTAGAGCAGCTATGCAGGCTTGGGAGCGAGTTCGGGTCAAACGCACTAAGGGGACGAAAGAAGGAGTTCAAGGACCAGAATCCCCGGTCAGGCATCAAAACCCCGACTGGGGAAATGCCATCAGAGATTGGGGAAGTCGTCCAGTGATTTCCCCAGTGTGGACCCCTTAATCCTCGACCGGGGAATTAAGCCTGAGACAGGGTTTTGTCTGCTTCGATGACTTACTGCTGCACACCATTTTGGGAAAACCGAGCATGTCCTTCAAATACCCGACGAATTATTGGGAGTTGCATATGGAGAAGATAAGCCATAAAAATGTGCTAAATTTAATTTGAAAAAACGTATATACTATATATTATGAGGACATGCTTGATGTGAAAAATAATAGAGGGATAGATTTGAGAAAAATGGATAATAGAGTGACAATTTATGCTATTAACTCCACATGAAAAACCGCCACTTATTATTCAAACAAACCTATACATTAAATTATAATAATTTATATAATAAGCATTATGCTTTCGTGTTATTCCAATAATAAAAAGTTCACAAATTTCTTCTAAGATATGAAAAAATACACAACAGTAAACTAGTACGACTTGGTAAAAAAAATTTATATAATAAGCATTATGCTTTCGTGTTCTTCCAATAATAAAAAGTTCACAAATTTCTTCTAAGATATGAAAAAATACACAACAGTAAACTAGGACGACTTGGTAAAAAAAATACATATTAATTAATTATCATTAATATCATAATCAACAAATATCATAAAGATTACTTTGAAATAATGAATTAACTATTTTAGAAAATCTCAATTTATTTAAAATCATGATGAAATTGATTACAGAAAATAAAATTAATCGAATAAATATTTTAAATATAATTATACATTAATTAATGTAAAAGATAAAACAAAACTCATTTGGCCAAAGCTAGGAGTTACTATACAACTAAGAGAAGAAATTCAGGGGTTTCATGACATTCCTTACTCCATAGTACAACAAACAGATTTGGGAAAAAGGGATAGAATAAAAAAACCCTCAACTCACAAGCCCTCGATTCATCTCCCATCTTCACCCTTGTTCTTCTTTTCTCCTGGTTGCGATTAGAGTATTTATTTTCCTTCTTTGTTTCTCAAGAAAAAGAGAAAGGAATCGAAGTTGTTTCGTTACTTATCTATCTTTTCTTTTTCTCTGGCCTTTGCGAGTTTTGTGAGTGATTGTAACTTGAAAGAAGGCTTTTGGTTCCTGGTTGTCAAAGCTGTCGGTGATGGGAAGTAGGAGAGAAGAAGAGCGTAACGAAAAGATTATCAGAGGGCTGTTGAAGCTGCCCCCAAATCGTCGATGCATCAATTGCAACTCCTTGGTAAGCATATACTCGTTTATCAAAATAGTTCTGCTGGGCTCAGTAATTTCTTTTTGATATTGCTTGTTTATTTTTCCGCCCTGTAGTTAAATGCTTTCTTTTGTCTGGTTCATTTTGGATTTGCAGGGTCCGCAGTATGTTTGCACCAACTTCTGGACTTTTGTTTGCATGACTTGTAGTGGAATACAATAGGTATCTGCTCTTAATGGGTATTGTGATGTGATTTTCCTTCACTTTGCTACTCACCCTTATGTCTGCTACTGCTTATGTATGCTGAATTTGAATACCCTTATGCCATGGTCTGTGAGCAGTGTTGTTTTTAATTTTTTGTCTTAATGGGAAAAAAGAGTCTTCTTTCCTGATTTGAATGATCCTCTGACTCATCCAATTTGATGAATTTGGCTAAAGTGAGATCAACCTCCTTCTTCTCGGGAGCAGATCCGGTGAGTAATCTTGTGGTGAGTAACCCCATGCATAACCCAATAAGAATCTACCACATCAGCGCCTCCTTCTCTCTCCTGGAAAAATCATTAATTTCTCTCCCTTAATCTTTAACGGACGATTTCTCGCTCGTTTTAACTCGGAATTTAATTTTTTTTTTTGCACAGTTAGATTATATTAATTGTGCTCTTCAAAATGATATCCACTTTGATATTTTTGGAACAAAACAAATTTGCCAGTTATTAACAGTCAATACCATATGGTATTGACTGATATTAAATAACAGCATACCATATGGTATGAAAAATACCACCTCATACCAGGGTGGTATAGTATGGTATGGAGTTGGTAACGAGAGGTATGAAATTTTTTCTCCCATAAAATTTTGAAATCCAATAGATCATGATTAAATCGTTCCTTTTGTGCAAAAAATTCCGAAAATGACTAAACAACGAAGGAGATATCATATGGTATGGAGTTGGTAACGAGAGGGATGAAAATTTTTTTCTCAAAAAAAATTGAAAATGTATATAATTTTGTAGAGCACAACGAACTCGTTCCATCTATGCAAAAAAAATTGAAATCCGAGTTAGAATGAAGAAGATATGATCCAATTAAGAAAACTAGGGAAAATAAATTCCTTTAATTCTCCACCCTTAGATCTGCAGCCACTTAAAAGAAGGGTCCAGATTTGGTTACTCATTGTTACTCACTCTATGGTTACTCACCCTATCTTGAGCCATGCCTGGGAGGATAACGGACAAATATGCAAAGGAATTGATTTGGAATGCAGTAGCAGGTGGAAAGGAACATATTCTTTCAAATAAAGCATGTGTACAAATGATGTCGAGAAAGCATGTGTACAAATAGGTTTGGATAACAGAATGAACTACTAGTGTTGAGCAGAGTATTTCATTTAGACATTCTGCTACTTTATTTAGCTGCACATAATTTAGTAGCCCGACTTCCTATTTGATTCCAAAAACAATTACGTGCTAATAACAATGGTGCATTTCAATCATCAACTTGTGCAGACAGAATCAATTTCTAAGCAATAATACCACCGTCATAATAAGAGCCAAAGCACTCGTACACCCTTTGCCTTTGGATATCGCACTTTTGCGTGAAACTTCCATGCTCCTTCACACACTGCACAGAACCAGTGGAGCAAGGCTTACAAATCAGAGCTTTGATTCAATCTTAAAGGTGGAACTCGATTTCCATGGATATTAAACGGTGAGCAATCACAAACCTTTTCAAGGAGCTCTTCCCAGAAGCTGGATTGAATCTTCTTGCGGTTGGAGGTTGGCACAAATGTCGGCTCTGCATTAATGGTCATCCCTGAACAAGGTAGAAAGTAGAAACAACTTTGCCATATGAGTTTCTATATATGTCAAAATTTGTAGCAGCAATATACTTGACCAAAGGACCGGATTTCAACTACCCATCGTATATATGACAGTCACATTCTAGGGGTAGTTTAGATTAAGGATTTGAAAAATGAAGGTTTGTGTTGAATTTCGTGACTTGGAAAATGAAGGATTGGGGACGGATTTGGTTCATTTAGCATCAAGGATTAGTTTCATTCTCTCAAATCTCATCAAATTATGTGAGATTTTCAAATCCATATACGTTGTTTGCTTGATGGATTTTGTGATGAATTTGGATCCATCATTATCATGAATTTTGTCCAAACTATATTGTTTGCTTCACGTATTTAGGGGACAACAAATCGGTGGGACCCACGGACATTGAGGGTCCAAATCCGTGAGCCCCGCAAACTTGGAAATCTCACCCTTAGGTAGGAAATGATCATGGATTTTGAAGTTCATATCCAATCTACCCTCCTATTTCTTTTCTTTCTCACACCAATGAGAACAATAAAAACTAAATTTCACTTTATACATACAAATCTAATTAACAAGATCTATAATGAAATTTATAAACAAGAAATGATATTTTTCAAATCTATAATGAACACAAAGAGCTCATATATCCATCATTTTCAAAATCCAAAATATGTTGATTTCACAAAGCAAACTACCCGGTCATCAGTTTCGCTTGATACATACATCTGAAATCATCTTCTCTGCCAATGGACAAAACAAAAGCTTTTACCTTTAGCATTGTCTTCCAAATGTTTCATAAGAGTCGAAGCTGGATTCTGGCAGGAAGTGCGGTCGGGATGCTCCCACATGCTCAAACACTGTCAATTCACACACAGGCAGATCAACATAAAACGTCCCAACACATGTACACTCACTCTGTTCCCCTTCAATCGAAACCTCACCTACTCCAGAACCACCTCATCTTTGAGAAACTCTGCATAAGCTCCTCCACCGGGTCTGTAGTTGTGCGCCGTGATCGCAGCTGCCTTTACGTGATGCTCGCTCGATGAACCTACATTTCAACGGCAGAGAAAGAGAATCGAATTAACACGCGGGCCTTCTGATTCCAGATCCTTGAAATCTGTTCTACAACTTTTCGTGCGCAGAAAGAAAGAAATAAAAAACCTGTTGCATTCTCTCCTTTGAGATTGGCTGTACCACTCGAACCACCGGACCGCGATTCAAAGTGGCTGCCGACGCCGCTGGCCTTTGCCTTGTTCAGTGCGGTAGAACTTGCGCCGCCGGCAGATGCTCCCCGCATCACGTCGCTCTTGCCGCTCTGGCGTCATCATGGTTCCTACAATTTCCCAAATTGTGAAAAATCCCAATCCATCACCATCAGGTTTTTGTATCTGGAGAGGCCCTAAAGAAACGCGATTGGTGTAGGTTACCGCAATACGGCCCGTAACATAAGCCCATGGGATCAAAGTCACAAGCCCATGGGCCAAAGTCGCTCTCGCATGAAAATATTTACAACCCTTCGATCAATGGGAAAAGGGATTCACGTCCATCTCAAAGTGCATTCTTGTCGGATATTTAACTCTTCTGTTTGAACTTTGAAGCTTGTTCGTTAACCTCCTTACCGAAATGCCAAGGGGAATCACTGCTTGATTGAACGAGCTACTTCAGTGAATTAGCCAAGGTGAGAGACAACTAGGGTTTCAAGTATTGGTCTGTGATTTAGCCTGGTAATTTTTCTTCGATAGGGATTGTACTGCTCACGCCGTGTTTGGAGATTCTTTTTTTAGCTAGGGCTTTGAATTGTAGGCGGCTCCTATTTGAGATTCATGGTGAGGCTCGGGTTGGAATTGGTTTCATCCTTTCTCAAGTTCACTCTTATGTTATAGTTGTTCGTCTGCTCTTTCGAAATGGATGGAAACTGTATAAATCTGTGGGGATTAGTATTTAACCTGTGTGGTTGCTGCTGATAGTATTTGAACGACAGATTTCTTTAGTGTTTATTTGTTTGCGATGAAGGTAGAGAAATCCAATAGGCTATTAGGGTTTTGGGATCTGTTTACGTAAAGATTGGTTATATGAGAGTTTAAATAAGCTGTTTCAAACAAATGTACCGGTTCATGCTGATCGAACCACTCTTTTTCTCCAGCATGGCGTACGGTCTGCTTCTCAGAGCATACGATATAATTCTAGCTCTGGCATTCTGGTTATATTTTTCTTAAGCTGAATTGGTCTCTATTTGAATCAGGATTCTGGAAGTTGGGAAGCAAAGGAGGGCAGGATGGCCGATGAAGGATTGAGCCAGCGGATAAAAGAGTAACCTTTCTTTGTGGTTTAGCTGACATGAGATTGAATTGTTCTTAGCTACCATCTAATTTTGCTATTTGGCCAGGAACGGATTAGAAAATTTTTATAGATCTCGCGTGTTTGGGCATTCAGGAGTCTTGAGATAATTCCTTGAAGAAACGTGACCCAACTATACTGCCCGTATTAGAAGCCCATGGGCCGAAAGTTAGTATCCAATCAGGAGAAGGGGAAACTAGTCGGTCAACCATCTTTACTCCTGCCAATGCCAACCCTCCGATCAATCGCACAAAGAAATCCTGGTCGTCGAAGTTCATTCTCGGTGGATAAATTACACCTCTGCGTCGCTTTGTCGGTTATTTTACGCTCCAGAAATAAAATGTTCGCAAACGAGAGAGAGCTGCTGTGAATCCAAGATTCGTGATTTCTTCTTCAAAGGTGAGAGCTCGCTCTAGGGTTTTCAGTTTCATCTGGGTCCCAATGCAATTGATTCCCTGTGTGTGATTAATTCACCATTCTAGGGATTTTAATTTCTCGGCCTCAGCTTTTAGATTGGTTTTCAGCTAGGGTTTTGAATTATACACGGCTTCTTTCTGAGATTTATGGCGGTATGGGTCTCATCCAAGTAATTTGATTGATCCGTTCCTGGCCTAGCAATGTAGTTTTGGTTTTCATATGTGCCTGCTGCTTAGGATTTTCATTGGCAGTGTCGACATAGTTGCTGGAGGGGGCAAAAAAAAAAGAATCTTTGTTTGGAAAAGTGTAAAACTATTATGTTAGAGAGGAATATTGTCCTTGAAAACAAAGATAACCGGCCCGTCACCTTTAGCAGAGACACTCATGAGGTATGTTCCTTGTTGTGCCTTGCTTTGTTCATGTTAGTCCTTTTATTTTCGACTGATACCATTTTCCTCACTGTTGTAGATTAGACTGAAGCAAGGCCTGGAAATGCTGACCATCTTCAAGACATACGTGCCAAAAGCGTCCTTGTTAGATGACTTCAATTTCTATGAAGATAGAGAGAAGGCTCTTTACACTAAGAAGAACAAGCCTGCAACTCTGCGAGTGGAGGTGTATGAGAAAGATGAGGAGGACGATTTCATTGTAAGTTCCTTATTTCTCCCTCAGGTCCCCTAATGGTTTCTTGATCTTGAGAGGATTCTTCCTTTTCAAGTTAGAGTGATTGAAACTCCTCCTGTTTTGCTAACTTTCCGAGATTGCATCATCTGCTCTTGTTCGGTCGCAGAATCACACGAGAGCAGCACAACAGAAGAAATTTGAAGATCCTTACTCGCTCATCAAGCAAACCAAGAATCTGTCTCTCAATGGCTACCACTCCAAGAAAAGTTCTGCAACCAACACAACAGATGGTCCAGTGCCTGCTGCAGCTGCACCATAAAACCTTCTGCACCCTCTCTCCTATAAGCTCTTCACCCAGTTTCTTTCTCTTCATTAATTTTTTTAGATTTATTTCCCGTCTTCCTTTCTTAGCCCCCTTGTTTTCTCTATTTCTTAGTGTAGAATGATGATATGGTCTCTATTCCATCATTTTTTATGTTCTTGACTTCTGCGTTTAGTGACTATTCAAAGTTCCTTTTTTTGGTTTCTATTAGGGATGGCAATGAAACCCGAACCCGCGGGTACCCGACCCGACCCAACCCAGTTAAAGCGGGTGAAACCCGTGTTGACTGGGTTCGGGTTAAAACCCGCTGTCTTGTTGTGCGGGTTGGGGCGGGTTCGAGTTTGGGGGTACTCGCCCCGTGGATACCCGGCCACACCCCTAACCCTAAAGGCATAAACCCTAAGACATGCTGAACTAACATTTTCTAATCACCCCAATCTCCCAGACGCTCCTCCCCTCCGCCCCTCTAATTCTCTCTGAATCGCACGACTCCCCGCCTCCACCCTCCTTTGCGACCGTCGCTGACCGCCCTACTACTCCCCTCTCGCCCGCCGACATCCCCACTGCTCCTCTCCGCAGCCATCCCCCTGCTCCTCTCGGTGACTCCTTCGTCGACCCGCCGCACTCAGTCCCAGACTCCCAGTTTCCTAGACTCAAACCTGACTCGCGTTTCGCAGGTCCGACCTCCACCTCTCGGCGACTCTGGCCGGCCTCTGCCTCTCGTCGACTCCCGCCTTCCCAGATTCCCCTACTCGTCCTCTACTCGGCCAGCAAGGGAACGAAATCCCTCCTTTCCCGGATTCCCCTGATTCTCCTCTTCGTCGTTACCGCTCCTCCTTTACCTCGGCTTGAGGCTGCTATTGCGGTGTCGCATTGCCGAGAAGCCTTCCAAGGTCCGGAGATCTTCTAGGCTGCGGCTGCTTCTCCTCTGTGAGGTATGGAGGATTCTTCTAGTCTTTTGAATGGAAAAGTAATTGCACAGATGTGTCTTTCTTGCCAAAGGATGATGATTGCTGAGTTGAGATGTCAAATGTTTGTCGAGGTCATATGTTGATAGTTATTGACATTATTGTGCTGGTTGTAGTGAATCAATTGATAGTTATTGAGATATCAAATGTTGCGCTAGTTGTAGTGAATTAGTTGTATAAAAGAATTGCTATTGGTTATTGTTAAAAGAATTTTCTTCTGGCTGTGAATAGATGTGAGCTCCTATCTTGACAAGCAAAATCAAGTTGTTGTGAATGGATCTGCTATATATGTAAATGATCTTTGTTATCATAAGCTTATTTCTTGCACCTCCCCATGGTCTCTTTCTGTGTGAGACTTCCCTTGTGGTTATTATATTGTGAAGCAGGTTCAAGGAGTAAACAATGGTTTTTATTTATGCCGTGGATAGTCCTTGAAACATCAATTCAACATTTCTCCGAGCATACATAGTGCTTCAGTGTTATGTCCATCCTTGTTTTGCTGCATATTTTGATGTGCAGAATGCTTCGGACAAGCAAGATTTTAGTGGATCTTTACTGTATATTTTGCTGCATATTTTCATGTTCTTCTCCCTATTTGCAACAATGTGGGGATTTCTCCAAGTTTAACATGAACTTTTGGGTTAATAACATGAACTTTTGGATTAGTTTGTGTGTATGTGTGTTTGCTGTTTGTTATAATGTTTTAACTGAAACAAATTTTTCTGTTGGTATTTTACTCAACATGAACTTTAGGATTAGTTTTTCTGCTCCTGGGTGCTCTTTATTATAACTCATAAATTCTTTCCATTTTTGTGTAAGTGCTTGATTTTTATTTCTTGTTAATTTTAATTGTTATTTTCTTACTACAAAAACCTACGGGTACCCATCAACCCGCGGATACCCAGCGGGTTGGGTTGGGTTTGAGTTTTTCAAACCCAGCGGGTTTTACCCCTGGTTTTTTTGGCGGATAAACCTATGGATTTGGGTTTGGCAAAACCTGCCCCAACCCGACCCATTGCCATCCCTAGTTTCTATGATTGAGGGAAAAGAGCCAAAAGATCAGAGATCATATTATGGTGCATGGGATGTGGTACTCTGTTTGTCAATTAAGTGGTGGTGCTCAGTTTGTTGGCACTAGTATATTTGGGTTAGGTGTATATGGTTAGGAATGGTACAGCGAGGAGCTCGTTCTTCCACCATTGAAATAGTGTCCAACCACGTTTTTGTAACAGATGGGAGAAGGACATTTGCCGACACAAGACTTGCAATAACTAGATGCACCACTCATCTCAATCTACATTCTTCTTTAATGGTTGTTTATCTTTGTTTGTATTGTTTACCATCCTTTTTGATTACTAACAGACATAGATGGATCATTTGCTTTTGGGTTTCGGGTTGATTTAAGTGTTTGTATGTTGGAAAGTTTGAAGTGGAATCATAAGCTCGTATCTATTTATATATATATGTTAGGGTCAAATCATTTATTCATTTAAGCTTATTACTCAAAGTTTTACCTGTATGATACTCATTGTCTATGGTTTTTTTGTTGTTGAATTTACATCAATCATACAACGACGATTATGTTTCTTAACCTATGGATCAGTGAAAGTTTAGAACTAGCCTTTCAATGATGTCAAAGCCTTCCATGTTTAGAAAGGATAGAGAAATTGTATGTTTGCATGTAGACGATATATGATTTTAAGAAAACTCGAACTAATCATGTTCATCAGTCGACTTTTCGAATTCATCCACACTTCTTTTTAGTTATAATTAAATTTTTGAGGCTCGTTTGGTAGTCAAACAAAAGTATGTGGATGGTAACCAAAATTAATTTGAGGTACAAAACAAGAGGGAAACCTCTCTAAACCCCTACATCCAACGGTCAATATTCCTTCTCTGCCAACCCGTGATCTAATCCTAGCCGTCAGATACCTCCTTAATAAAACCTCCCTCTCTAGTCTTCTCTTTCTCTCCTTTTCCCCTCTTTTCCTGCTCCCTACACTTAGCTCCGCCGCCACTCGACTTCCATCTCGCCCTCCGGGGAGCCGCTTCTTGAGCCGGCCGCCGGTCGTTTCCTACCTCTGTTGCAGAAGCGGTCTTCCGCGGTTATCAGATCGGCATCTCGTCGTTACGTGCCCAATCTTGTTCTGTCTCGGAAATCCTCTTGCCAGGTTCAGTTCAACTTCAATCCTCTTTAAGTGGGTGCTTAGCTCAGTAATAGCTTTGAAATTTGAGTGGAGCATGCGAATCAGTTGCTTGAAAGGCTTTCTCGATTGATTTGGTGGATGGATGCTTTCGGCTGTAGATTCGTCGAACGTTTTTTGGATTTGTGCAGATTTAGAGTGTTGCTCGCTGTGCTGTAGTTGGCGTTTAGGAATTTGGATGGGTTTTGTTGGGTGCAAGCGTTCTGTTAGCAATCTCGGTCCCGGAATTTCGCTTTTCGGAATAAGATTTTGCTGGGAAGTGGGAAATATCACTTTCTGAGGGCAGTGGATGTAGAATCTGATGCTTCTATCTTTTCATTTTGTTGATGTCTGTTTTACTGTTCTACTAATTATTGAAAAGGGAATCGGAATGTTGATAATTGGAGAGTACTAGTTGATGAGGGACCATGGAAAGTTTAGAAGAGGGCGCAGTTTTTGCTTGTGTTCTTTTGCTTTCATCTTTTGATCTCAACCAACACCTTTTATATTGTCTTTCCTTCTTATTCCTCTTCTTCTCCTGCTATCTTTTTCATCTTGCAGGTGCGTCTTCAGCTGAATTGGTCTCTATTTGAATCAGGATTCTGGAAGTTGGTAAGCAATGGAGGGCAGGATGGCTGATGAAGGATTGAGCCAGCGGATAAAAAAGTAACCTTTCTTTGTGGTTTAGCTAACATGATATTGAATTGTTCTTAGCTACCATCTAGTTTTGCTTTTTGGACTCAGGGACAATCCTCAGTTAGCATCAGAACTGAAAGAAATGAAAGGAGGTTTGGATTTGGTAAGAAGTAAAGTTGAAAGCTTGACTGCTAAGGTAAAGGGTTTTAGGTTTTGAGGATATTACTTTTGAATGCTGGAGTTGCGAGGAGTCTTACGCTGTGAATGAAAGTTCAATTGAAGTCCTCCCCTGATGATTTAACTTCTTCTTGTTGAAAATGAATGTTTTTACCCCTTCTGCATGAGCAGGTAAAAGCTAATAATTATCCTACAGCTGATGGGATAAGCTACCTAGAGGCTAAAAATTTGTTGCTTCTTAACTATTGCCAATTGCTGGTGTACTACATACTTCGTAAGGCAAAGGGTTTTTCAGTTGACAATCAACCTGTTGTTCAAAAGCTTGTCGAGACGAGGTTGTTTTTGGAGAAGGTATGTTCATCTTTGTCTCCCTTTTATGCTTCTTTGTTCACTTGATGAATGTTTGTTGCAGAAATGGGGATATCAATTTGTGATGTTTTCTTAACAGATACGACCAATTGACAAAAAACTTGAATATCAAATTCAAAAACTCACAAAGGGTGCTTCACAGCCTGTGGATCAAGTAAATGTCAATAGCAATATAGAGGCTCCTAGGAATTCTGAGGATCTTTTGAAGTATCGTCCCAACCCAGATATGCTTAATAACAAATCTGTGGTCGCCTCTGGGGTGAGTTTTGTTTTAAAAATTAGGATGTCATTGGATGAAAGAATATCTGGCATTTCTTGTTAGCTAATTTGGTGATTCTGTGTCCTAGGATGTTGTTGGTGTATATCAGCCACCAAAATTGGTCCCAGTAGAAATGGAAGGTGGCAGAATATCGAGGGAAAAAAGGAATGAAGTGAGAAAAGAGAAAGAGATGGTTAGACGGTCAAGACTGGGCTTCCAAAAAGATTTGTTTGATGACTTGCAGGGGAAGCCTGAAGAGGTTAGTTCTTTCTCCGCTTTATTTATTCTTCTTGTTGGATTCACTTTTTCAGGCACTTGAGATCACCACTTATTGTATGTGTACATACCAGGTTAAAGAATATTTTGGAAACGAGAGTAGGGAGTTTGAAAAATATCAGAGACACTGGGAAGCACGTGAGAAAGAGGAAGAAGACCAATTCATCTGTGCGCCTATCACAAAGAAGGAGAAGAAAGAGTTGAGGAATTTAAATTGGTCAAGAGGCGGGTATGTTGCATCTTTTGGGGTTAATTTCTGAGAAGTTGAGATATGATTTACTGAGCAAGCGGATGGGCTTGTTATTCAGATTTCTGTGATGATTCTCGACAACCTTTCCTGTTTCCATTCCTTTCTGGCAGGTTGGATAGTTTGACTGATGGTTTCGATATCAAATTCTTACCATTGGATGATGGTTCTGGTGAACAACAGAATGCTAGAAATGGAAGTGTTGGAATGAGGAAGCATAAGAAACACAAGGTATGCTCAGAAATGTTGATGATAGCTATTCCTTGTTTGTATAAGTCCCAAGTTTGACTTCCTACGTTTTGTACTCTGTATGGATGTTCATAGAACTAAGAGTTGAGAAACAAATTGCATGTGTGCTACGAGGCTGAGATCATTTAGAGGATAGCTTAAGCAACAAACTTTAATATATTGTTTATGGGTAGTATGGATGCTGTTGTAACTATCCTTGCCATGGGGAGTTCTTTTTTCTTTTTTGTTTTTTTTTTTTGGCGTGATGAATGTTGCTGCTGTAGTATCTTTTGGGTATATCTCTAGCTGATTTATGTCATCGCTTTATCATATGCAGAGGAGGCATTAAGCACAAGAAAAGCTGAGATCCCCAGGCCAGTTTTGTGCTACGTTTGTAAGAACAATTCACATCTGGCGAATGTTTATAGGGCAAGTGACTTGGGAAAGGGAGTTTTAATGCTAAGCAGAGTCCTATTTTTGCAGATGGGCATACTTGAATCTGGGAGCTGGGAAGCTCATTTCTGGTTCTTATAATTTTGCAAGTTCAAGGCCAGGCCAAAAGGATAAGCGTGCAGTCAATTGCGTTAACTTACCATCATTAAACCAATCTGTAATCAAGTTTTGTGAGTGAGAGTTTCAAATTCAATGCAAAATTTGAATTTTAGTTTATCATATTTAATTTGGCTACCTACCTGCTCGTAACTGCCCTGCTAACCCTTCAGTGGTTAGTATCGTGCTAATGATGAGTTGAACTAGTCGGCGTTGGGGTTACAATTATAAAAAAAATTACTACAGTTGCAAAAACCATGACATGTTTTTATGCTTGAAAAAAATCGAAAATGCACTCATTCTCTACCGTGTGTAGCTTTTTCTTTTAAGAGAAATTTTCAGTCCATATACGGTATCAATGTACAAGGTAGACATATTACAAAAGAATTGAGAAATAAAATCAATGATCTGAATCCAGAGATAAAGCTTTGTCTGGAGATTGTAGGACATTAACCACCACTTGGTAGCCAGAGAAGATGATAGCTCTAGGCACGCGTTCTCAGCAAAATTCAAACACGTCAATAAGGCTTTAACTTCTGCTACAATCGTTGATGAACTTAAATGAGAACAGGCAATACCATCCAAAACATTCCTATTGGAGGGTTAGGATCGGAAGATCCAAGTCGATTCCTCTCCACCACTCTAAAGGCATGGTAAGCCCAGCTTACAGTGAATACACCGGATTATCACTATGATTTTTGATACATTTCCTCTTCCATCAAAGCATCTTTGATTATTTCAATAGTATTTCCTATCTAAATCACAACTTGATCAATGAGCCTTTATTAGACATAGGTTATGTTCATGTACTCTTTGATGATTTATACCTTCTTAATTATTAACTTTAGATGATTGTTGACCATAAATTTCAAACCCATTATATCATGAATTTTATCCATCCATATTACCAGTTGACCAATCCCCTGGAGTTTCTAATGACTACTAAGTCTAATGATTAGTGTCGCAACCGTCCCCCCGGGGGTCCGTTGTCGTCGCGTCGGCATTTTTTGGGAGTCGCCATCGATTTTGCTTGGAGTGGATCGAACACTCTTCGAATCGGCTCCGACCTTAAGGTCCGAACCGAGATATGGTCTGCGAACATAAAGTTCTGGGTTGGGGAGTACGGTTACGTGTGGGGAAGTTAACCAACATCCCACAACGCCCTAAATCGGTACTACTTAAGTCGATAAGTTTTTATGCGAGTTGGGTGTATTTTAGTAATATTTTTGTAATTTTAGGTCCCACTGGACCATTTAATGATTTTATCGCATTAGTTGTAATTTAATTATATGCCCACTAACGTAAAAATTTAAAGATAGAATTAATTGGTTAGCTGGACTCGAACCTTATCAGCTGCCTACGTACCCCTTAGACGGGATCAAAGTCCATGTAGTTCGTTGGGAACTTTGATAATTTTAATTATAACTTTTACCACGTTCCACTGAATGTAATTTTTGTATTAAAGATTTTGTTAATAAAATTTACATAGATTATTATGAGGTCATGACAATAAATGCAAGGATTTTAGTTATTAGGAAGTATTTTGATGTATTAGAAAAGAAATAAGATAAACTTAATTCGCATTCAACATTTTGTATTAAGGCTTTTAAAAAGAAATAAAAATAACTAAGATGATTAAATTAAGGCATGATGGCCCAGAAGCCCAACTGGCTAAGTTTCTAGTCACGAACCCACTCATTGTACTGAACGAGGGTTCGAAACCTGCTCACTTCATTTTATCGTCGCTCTTATTTTAGAGAAAGGGGAAGGGCAATTTTGTAATTGCAAAAACGGACGGTGGCCCACGTAAATGTGCAGAAACCCTACGGGCAGTTTGGTCTTTGATCCTTCCACTTCTCTCTTCCTCTTCCAGAATCAAATCAAAACCTAGCCGCCTCTCTACACCTCACCTCTCTCTCCTCCATAGACCGAAACCCTAGCTTCCTCTCTTCAAACCATCGCCATCTTCTTCTCCTCTCACTCTCTCGTCTCTCTCCCACCATAGACCGAAACCCTAGCCTCCGATCGACGTCCTCTCTTACCCTCTCAATCCGCCGTCGCTCTCGTGCCCTCTCAATCCGCCGTCGCTCTCGTGCCCTCTCAATCCGACGTCACTCTCGAGATAAAACGCTGCTCGTGTTCGCAAACGAGAGAGCTGCTGCTGTGAAACCAAGATTCGTGATTTCTTCTTCAAAGGTGAGAGCCCGCTCTAGGTTTTTTCAGTTTCATTTGGTTCCCATTTCAATTGGTTCCCTGTTTGTGATTAATTCACCATTCTAGGGATTTTTTTTCTCAGTCTCAGCTTGTAGATTGGTTTTCAGCTAGGGTTTTTTTATTATACGCGGCTTCTTTCTAAGATTTATGGCAGTATGGGTCTCATCCGAGTAATTTGACTGATCCGTTCCTTGCCTCGCTGGTAATGTAGTTTTTGTTTTCATGGGTGCTGCTGCTTAGGATCTTCATTGGCAGTGTCGACATAGTTGCGTGGCTTGAGGGGGGAAAAACAGATCTTTGTCTGGAAAATTATTTTTAAGGTTAGGTGCTTTGTGAAGGGGGAGTGAAGTCTGTGTCTTTACATTAAAGTGAAACTATTGTGCTACAGAGAGATTAATTAGGACTCAATTAGACCGTTTTATGTTATTATTTTAGGGAGAACTTTTGTATTTGTGATCTGTGTGGAATGAAGTATGTATCTGCCATAGCTAAAGGCATTGCATCAGCTAGCTGTTTTTAATATGCGACTGTCTCCCCTTTTTCATTTGATGTTATTTAGTTGCATTGTGTTGAAACCTTCTTCATCTTGCATTGTGTAGAATCTGATGCTTCTCTCTTTTCATTTTGTTGATGTCTGTTTTACTGTTCTATTTTATATATTGAAATAGTGTCCAGCCACATTTTTGTAACAGATGGGAGAAGGACATTTGCCGACACAAGACTTACAATAACTAGATGCACCACTCATCTCAATCTACATTCTTCTTTAAAGGTTGTTTATCTTTGTTTGCATTGTTTACCATACTTTTTTTATTACTAACAGACATAGATGGATCATTTGCTTTTGGGTTTCGGGTTGATTTAAGTGTTTGTATGTTGAAAAGTTTGAAGTGGAATCATAAGCTCGTATATATTTATATATATATATATATATGGACGGTGCTCTAAGGTATATTATACCTTTAGTCATCTACGCCGTTCATTTAATCTTGATGGTTGATATTATTTCTTTATTAAATGAGTTATTATTAATAAATAAAATTACCAAACGCCTCCCAAAACATGTAATTGTTTTCATTATAGTCTATTTAACACATCCGGTCGGTTCAATACTTTAATGGTTTGAAGGATTGAACTTAGAGCACTTCTACTATGCTATATAGTATTGGTGCTTTAATGTACAACTTAAAGTTGTACCATATCATTAAATGTATAAGTTTAGGTTGTACCATAAAGCAATTTGTATCATTATGTTATGGTACAACTTTACAACTTGAAGTTGTACCATCACATAAAGGTACAAGTTCAAGTTGTACCATAAAAGAATTTGTACAAAATGTATAGGTACAATCTGAAGTTGTACCATAACGTAAATGTACAATTTTAAGTTGTACCATAAATGCATATCCCTATAGCACCAATACTATATAGCATTGTAAAATTTCTCTTGAACTTATTTTAGCTTTCCAACCAAGGGACCCCCACTAGGCCACTACCCTAAAAATTGCAGACCAATGTCCCTTGTTCATGTTCTTCTTTCCTCTACCCCTTCCATTTGGCCGCCAATCTCCCACCTCTCTTCCCCAGCAGGACAATCCTTCCGCCGAATGCCAGAACTTGTGGCCTCCCTGCAACTCTCTGCGTCGGAAGTCTCGATCTCAATCACATCCTCGAAACCTCGACTTCCCTGCCCATCTAATCAACTGTCTCGGACTACCTCTAGCTCTTCGCCGGCTCTCCTTTCTCAATCGGTGGCCCTTGAAAGCGAACGGTGACATCTTTCCTCTACGATCTGTCTTCCACTAATCCTCGCCGACTAGAACAAGGATTTCTGTTCTGAAACCCTCGCCACCGACAAGAACGAGTTATGTTCTGAAACCCTCGCCGCCAACAACGACAATTTCCCGTTCCTAGCCATTCTGGATGCTGCCCTTGTTCTCTGGATTGTGCTACTGTATTTCTCAATCGGCGGCCACCTGAGAAGTCGTCCCCAATCATTCCCCCATCCAGTTATCGAAACCAGGGGAATCCCTCTTCTCGCCCTCCTCTGCTGCCGTGGAGAACATCCCGCCTGAAAAGGTGCATTATAGGACTTCATCAAACGATTTCATCATTCCATCTTCCAATTTTTATGCTTTGTTGACCCAGTTACTAAATTATCTGTTTCCCTTGTGCCAATAGTCATTTGTTTGCTGAGAGATCAGTTTTTATCTTTATGAGTTGGGGTTAGAATTCAGCTATACTTGTTTCGACACCAATTTTTAGTTTAAGTGGGGTAGCTTGTCAAGGTAATGTGAGTGTGTATACAGATTGTAGAAGTTTAGGCTTTAGAACCGTCCAGGTAAGTATGTTGTTAGTAGTAAAGATTCATTAATTGGTTTTATAGTAGAATGTGATTAGGCTGTTTCCAAACCCCAGAGAAAAGTGAAACTGAAATGAGTTATCACTGAGAGCTAATACAAGTTTTTTGATTGCCCATAAAATAAGGATTGAGCTATACTTTAAGATCAGATAGTTGTATTTCGATTGATTTAAAGTTTAAGATCATGTGGATTGGATCAAAGAGTCTCTGCTGATGCTTATGATAATGATAGTGCTGCTTCTAATACCGCTAAGTTATAGAATTCTATTGTGTTCCGTAGTTGATTTGTGTTCAAATAATTGTTTTATGTGGTGTGATTAGTTTTGTTTGGTGGTTGATAGCAGGATGGCACAAATTCTGGTTGTGAAAAATTGGCCTCTGCTCAAAGTGTCCATTATTCAGCAGACCTGTGAAATAAGAAGCAACTCATAACCACCACAGTAAATGAAGGGTAGTGAGGTAGCTGTGGAATCCTATTAACACACATCCCGCTGCAGGTATGAGGTATGATATGAAACTAACATATCTCAACCAAAGGGAACGGTTCAGGCAAACAGAAAGCATCCAGGCAGAGTAGTTGTTTCAAAGGACAATATGACTCGAGCTTTTTGTGTATGTTGTGTTGCCTCCAGCCTAGGATATGTCCTATGTGTGCTACCACTGTCCTTTTTATATGGTCTCATTATGCTGTCTTCTGTATGTCATTACGCTTTCTAACTAGAAGAATTCAACTTATCACACGTAGTCTTGGAGGCCGTGTGAAGCGTTTTGTTGTTATATCGGTCTCCTTGTTGTGTGCTTGTTGATCATGTCCCTTAGTAGACAAATTCTTCATATCATCTTGGAGTACTGCATAAAACCAAAGTGCATGCAGCCTGAACAAAATGTAACAAAGAAGCATGAAACTCAATCAACTTCCACCTCTCATACCCAAATCAGAAAGTTGCACCTGGAACAAAACATTAGAGAGAAACATGACAACATTCAAATTTCCAAACCAGTAACTCAATGCTAATGGTCATATTGAAAAGCAACAACTAAGATTCTCATTGTCTTGCTTTTGTGGCACTTGGACTCTGCACCTGTGTACACAGAAAGACCTGTCGAATTGATAGCATACCATAAAATTGCAAGCAAGGAAAGATCTCGTTCCTCTTAAACAAATTGTTTGGATTAATCTCATAAGTGCTTCTTTCCTTTAGGGATTTACAAGTGTGCATTGGATCAATTGTTCTACGAGCACAATTTCAACCAAATAATCATTCTAGGAGTGACTTGGATAAGGAAACTGCAGAGTCATTGTTCACCAAAATATATATCCATACGCTTCTTCTCCAAACATTCGTGCTGCATATCTCGAATTTATGGAGCTAGACAAGGTTAAAAAAAAGCTGGAGATAACAAGATTGAAAACTTGTCGACTCCGAACGTGTTTCACTGCATCATAGGGAAACGAGATAAATGAAAAACTTGCACACGTACCTTGGAATAGGGATTCCAGACCTTTGAAGTCGTTCGGATTGCCAACCGAGTATGCAAATAGAAATAAAAAGACTAGTTACCTAAAACACAGGAAAGGCTAGCATCGAATTGGAAGAGGAAACAACGTAAATGAACAGGAGAGAAGAGCGACCAAATTCAATAAAAACAGAGATGGCAGCAACAGAGAAACCCATATCTCTCCTGCAGTTTGCAACGGCGGCGTCAAGCTCTTTCACCTAAACACCAATAGTCGGGGCTCTACGTTTCAATTGACGAAAGGAAGGAGTGGATCATGAGATCCAATCTTGTAAATGAGATTTGTCGAACAGAGAGATTGATTAGAACTGGAGGGAACAAGAAAAATTCAGCGGGAACACACAGTGGATGTTTTGACTTTTGAGGCAAGAGGGACATTTGAAATTTTGTTAAAATTTTTCCCACTGAAAGTTTATCATTATTATTTTTTTTTGACAGAAATGATAGTTTATTAGTTAATTGTAGATAGGGAGTGAACAAATAGAACCTCAAACTGACTCACTCTGCCAACATGTCACACTTCACATGTACCAACATAGTTAAAACCCTTATCTTAATATTAAAATCTTACAATTTTACAATTTTACCTATAACTAATAAGACATCTCACCATTTCGTCTTCTTCCTCTCTTTACCTTTTCTTCCTATTACAGAACATTAAGGAAAGAAGAGAGCCCATATGCTGCACAATCAACTTCCTTCCGCACCCTGCAAAAGGGGTCAGGCTAGTTAAAATGTCAATATAAGAGGAAGAAAGAAAGAAAGAAAGGATACAGCCTGAGCAAAATGCCACTTTCTAGTACGAGATCACAGTCATATCTTCTAATAGAAGTTTCAGTATCTTCGCCAATTTTGTCCTTCCTTGATGGAGAGTTCTGTAGCTGTTCTTCCGTAAGGTAGAAGTTGTCTATAACGGTGTAAAGCATGAATTAATACTGAAACAGAACCAACATAATTGTATAAGTTAGCTGTATTAGAAGCAACAACATCATTATCATAAGCATCGCCAGAGACTATTTTCTACTAATACCGCAATCTTCATTAACAGGGTAAAACTCGTTGTATCATGAAGTTACCTCTTTGATCCAATCCCAACGATCTTAAACTTTAAATCAATTGAAATACAACTATCTCATCTTAAAGTTCAGCTGAATTCATTTTTTTTAATATATAGCCAACCAAAAATTGCATTAGCTCTCAGTGATAACTCAATTGAGTTTCACTTTTCTCCAGGGTATACAATGCTGTAATGGAAACAGCCTATACACATTCTACTGTAAAAACCAAAACTAACACTTTCCTACTAACAACATGCTTAATTGGACGGTTCTAAAGCCTACAATTCTACAATCTGTATACCAGACAAACATTCCATTGACACGCTACCTCACTTAAACTAACAATTCGTGTAAAAACAAGTACAGTCAACTCGGAAAAATTAAAAAAAAAACTGATCTCCTAGCAAAAAAATGGCTATTGGCACAACCCAAACAGATAATTCGTGTCAAAACAAGTACAACCTGCTAACAGTGTCCCATGGGAATGGGTTGGCTCCAAGAACGAAAACAATCAATTCATCAACTGCCACATAAAGGAACTAGAAAGCTCAGCAACCATAGTTGTATATTGGAGAGGTCCAAAGAACTAGCAATGCTACTACAACTCTCAACACTGTAGACACAAAGTCTTTAGTATAAAGACATTCACAGAATATATGATTTCCGGACTCCCCTGCATCACTACATAACAAACAGATATCATCCTTAATCAGTTCCTACCAAACATCAACCTTTATCCTAGAAAGTTGCTAACAGTGACCAACATCTAAAATTTTCGCAACAACACCAGCCAATTCCAACCATTACCCATCAATCAGAATAAATGATCAACTAAACAAAGCAAAGCAAGAACACACAAGAGGGGAATTATAACAACAGGGTTGACCACAATGATCTACAACAAGTGAATCGAGAATCGAAATGGCCAAACCCATACGAGAACTGAGAAAAACACTTGCCCAGAAAATATCCAAAGAACACTTCTTTACCCAAAACAACAAAAGCAAGGACAGTAGGGTTTTACCGACAGGGCGAGTATTGAGAGAATCTCTAGCCGTGAACTCAACAGCGGGAATCACCAATGCTTGACGGAAGGATCGACAATTTGGGAATTCTTCGGAGAAAGCAGAAGAAGAGAGGGGAAGGTCGAGGGAAGAGGGTTGGGGACTTGGGGTGACGCGTGATGAGAAGAAAAAAAGAAGGAGATGGAGAATGGTGCCATTTTGGTCGCAGCGGCCAGAATCTCCTGGAACGGGAATCGTTGTTGTACCTGATCTCCCAGCAAATAAATGACTATTGGTACAAGCGAAACAGATAATTAAGTAGTTGGATCAACAAAGCATAAAATTTAAAAGATAGAACGATGAAATCGTATGACACACCTTTTCAAGCGACATAGGGATGATCATCGCGACAACAAGGGAGGGCGAGAAGAGGTATTCCCCTGGTTTCGTTAACTGGGTGGGGGAATTATTGGGGACGACTTCTCAGGTGGCCGTCGATTGAAGAAGTACGGTGGCACAATCTAGAGAACAAGAGTAGCAACCAGAATCGCTAGGAATGGGAAATTGCTGTTGTCGTCGGCGAGGGTTTCAGAACAAAACTAGTTGTTGTCGTTGGAGAGGGTTTCAGAATAGAAATCCTTGTTCTAGTCGGCGAGGCTTTAGTGGAGGAAAGATCGTAGAGGAAGATGTCGTCGTTCGCTTTTAACGGCCGGCGATTGAGAAAGGAGAGTCGGCAAAGAGTTGGAGGTAGTCCGAGACAGTCGAGTAGATGGGCAAGGAAGTCGAGGTTTCGAGGATGCGATTGAGATCGAGACTTCCGGCCGAGAGAGGTGCAGGGAGGCCACAAGTTCTGGCAGTCGGCGGAAGGATTGTCCTGCTGGGGAAGAGACGTGGGAGATCGGCGACAAAATGGAAGAGATAGAGGAAAGAAAGAAACGAACAAGGGGGATATTGGTCTGCAAATGGGGAGGGTAGCCTACAATTTTAAGGGGATTTTGCTTTGGGGTAGGGGTTTGGTCCATTGGTTGGAAAGTCAAAAGAGATTGATTGTACAAACCATTGCACCGACTCGTATTTGTTAAATGGACTTGAGCAAAAACAATTATACATTGTGGGAGGCTTTTTGTAATTTGATTTATTAATATTAACTCATTTAACAATAAAATAATATCAATCATCGAGATCATCTATACGGTGTAGATGACTCAAGGTATAATATACCTTGGATTCCACTCAAGGTACGGTAGAAGCCACCATATATGTATGTATGTATATATGTATGTATATATATATTATAAACCCATCAATAACAAATAATAACTGATGATGGGTTCTCTTGATCTATTTTCTTTTTGTTTTGTTCTGTTTTCTTAAATCATCATGAAGAAGAGACTGATCGGAAAGACGATGATGATCAGCTAATTAGATCTTCTTCCATTGACTTGCTTTGGTTGGTGAGAATAATGGTGACGATACCTGCGTGTGCTACTGTTCGTTTTTGTTAGGACAAAGAAAATTATTGACGATTTGACTACTACCAAAAGTTTTATCTTTATTTTTTGTATTCGAAAATCTTCCACGATGTTGCATTATAAGTTAGTTAGCATCAGAATAGTGATATTACCAACCGGTTTGGGATCTCTTGAAATAATTTTGGAGGTTTCATGATTGATTTGCTTTTCAGAATAGTAACGAGTAGGCTGCCAAGAAGTACCCACAAATCAATTTGGGTAGTCTCTCAAACCCAAGTCATTATGGGTCAAATCAAGTTTTTCCAGATCGTTTGGAAGTTGTGATTATTTTAGCGAGATGTTACTATACATGTATTGTTTAGAATGTATCGTTATTTATTTATTTTCTAGCAAAAACAATACATGAATTGTTTTTGTGATTTGACGATAACGATTACTTAAAATGAGTAATTGTTATATCTCAGCTTTTAGTTCTGATTGTTGAGTTGAAATTGTTTTGTCTCAGCTTTTAACTTATGTGACATACACAATCACACATAGCAAACGTTGTATTTTACAATGCATCAAATTCGACAATACATGCATGCATAATATTATATATGCATTCACAACAATACATCTATTTAACAATCGCCCATCATTTTTAGTTTGAATCCAAAGTAGACTCATTACATTGCCTACCCAAAAAAAATGGAACTCTAATGTGATTTTTGTATTTTTCTTTAACCTTGCCTACCCAAAAAAAATGGAACTCTAATGTGATTTTTTGCATTTTTCTTTAGCCCATGGTGCTCCTCCTGCGATTCCAAGAACCGAGAAGAAGAAGGTGGGCCGAGGAGAAGGCCAGTTGGGCCGAGGCGATGAAAAGAAGGTGGGGCAGCAGATGCGAGCCCACAAAGCTGCTCCTGGCCTCCCTCATTCACTTGGGATGGGCTTGGGGGTAAAAGACACTTAGCTGATTCGGGCCTAGGGAGACAGGCCCAGGAAGAGAGGCCGCAACAGATGGCCGAGCTGGGAGATGCGGACTCGGGGTCGAGCAGTGTGGAGCCTGGTCATCGAATGACCCATCGCCGCAAACTTTTACTCCTGGAGGAATCAGAGGATGAACTCCCTTTCCTCAAGCCATCTACGCATCCCATGCCTGAACCGAAGAAGGCTGTGAAACTTGTTGGTATGGGAGTGGAGGGTGGTGGAAAAAAGGAGGACACTCCTCATGCTGGACGTCGTAAGCTGCGGAAAGCAATGCTGCCAGCAGAGAAGACTAAGTCTCGTACTAGTGGCCAGAAGGTGGGGAAGGCTAGGCGGGGCAAGAAGGAGGAGCTGCGGATTGAGGATGCGAACTTGGTTGATGTTCCTATACATTTGGGTGCGTTGCTCACCCACACTATGCGCTCCCTGTCGCCATCCCTGGTGGATAATGATGCGGCTGCGGGGTCCTCTGATGAGGAGGCGGAACAATGTTTTGAAATTAAACGACGTACCAAAGGGAAGGAACCTGCTGATATCGCCCGAACCAATCATGGTCGAGTGGGAATGGTGGTGGCCGCTTTTGAAGCAGGCATGACCCTTAACCCGGTAGGTGAAGGGAGCTCGGAGACTGTGCCCAAAGATTGAGGATTTTTGTAGAATAATGAGTCACCACCGGCCTCGGAGAAGGAGATGATCTGGAAATTGAATGAATATGGGTCTAATATTCTGGATCCTAGTACTGGTGGGACAAAAAAAGAGCTCTGATTGCGGTGGAAGGGGATGTCGAGGAGCCTCCTAACCCAAAGAAGCAATTTATTGAGGAGATTCCAAATGATGATATGGTGGAGGTAGCCAGCCAAGAGTGGCCCCCAGAGGATAAATGAGGCTTCTTGCCTGGAATGTGAGAGGAATTGGGCCTTCACTCACATTCCAAACTGCTGTAGATTTAATTCATTCCAATAAACCGAACCTTGTCTTCTTTTCGGAGACAAGATCAAGCCGGAGAGTAGTTACCCGTCGTATGCGTGGGTTAGGTTTTCATTCGAATTTTTGTTTCTTTGTTGATGCCATCGATACTTCTGGTGGTTTAGTTGTAGCTTGGGCCCCCGGAGTTGATGCTTCGGTGTTTTATCATTCGGATTTTTCGATCTGCGTTCGGATTAATGAAGACAATTTTTCGTATGTGGTGATTTGTGTTTATCTTAGTTGTCATGAAACCATCCGCGCTAATCAATTGATGGTGCTCCGTCACGTTTGCGATGAAATCCACTTACCTTTTGTGGTCATTGGGGATTTCAATGTTACTCTGCATGAAAACGAAAAGGATGGTGGTCATCTCTGGTCTCCTGCTCCGTCCATTCCTCTGAGGAATTTTATCCATGACTTTGGGCTTCAGGATCCGGGGTTCCAAGGTGACCAGTTTACTTGGACTAATAAACGAATGGGGGCGGCGTGTATTCGAGAATGCTTAGACTGAGCTCTCTGCTCCCAGACTTGGATTGAGAATTTCCCCGACTCTTTGGTCAAGCATTTTACCGATCAGGGATCGGACCATTGAGCTCTTGTCCTCTCTGATAAACCTTATGCCAGGCATAGTCGACCCCTCTTCCGATTTGATGCTCAATGGGCACAGAATCCGGAAGTCAAGGCTACGGTGGCATATGTGTGGTCAGAAGAGATACACGGTACACCCATGTACCAGCTTTGGGAGAGATTGAAGAAACTCCGTCATCTGCTGTATGACTGGAGTAGAGCGGGGACTACGAATTCGCTCAGAAATATTAAAACTCTCCAAGCTGAGATTGATAGGGTGAGGCTTAATCAACCGATTGATTGGGAGGAGGTACGGGGGTTGGAATCGGAGCTTAGCCGCCAATGGGAAGCCGAGGAGGAGTATTGGCAACAGAAATCCAGAGTCCATTGGCTCAAGAAAGGGGATAGAAACTCTTCGTATTTCCACCCGGTTACCCGTACCCGCCGTAAGCATAATTTTGTCTCAGGCCTTCACAATGACGAGGGTGACAGGATTATATATGAGCGGGGGAAGGCGGATATAGCAACTAATTACTATCAGAATCTCTTCACTTCTGAGACTTCTGTCCAGAACATGGATGAGAGGGTTGCTAGCCTTCCAATAGAGCGGAAGGTCTTGTCAGATATGAACGTTGTGCTTACGGCGGAAGTCTCCCCTGAGGAAATTCGTAAAATCGTGTTTTCAATGGGAGCTAAGCAGGCTCCGGGGTCTGATGGGTTTACTGGGAAATTCTTCAAGTCTTATTGGGATATAATTGGTAACTCGGTGATTGAGGCGGTTTGGGCTTTTTTTGGGACTAGTAGAATGCTTCGAAGCATCAATCATACCTGGCTTACGCTGATCCCTAAAGTGGACAATGTTGAAAATATGGCGCAGCTCCGGCCCATCAGTCTTTGCCAATTTGTTTATAAGGTCATTACTAAAATTATGGCAGAGAGGCTTGCAAAGTTCTTGCCCCAAATCATTTTTGAAGGGCAGAATGCTTTTATTCGCGAGCGGCAGATTGTGGAAAACATCCTGCTTGGGCACGAGTTAATGCATTATCTTAAAATTAAAACGCAAGGGAAGAAAGGGTACATGGCTCTAAAGGTTGACATGGAAAAAGCCTATGACAGGGTTGAATGGACCTTTCTGCTTGCGATTTTGAGAAAGTTAGGTTTTAACTCGGTCTGGTGCGGGTGGGTTCAGGAGTGTCTTAGGTCTGCTTCGTTCTCGGTACTTATGAATGGCACTCCGACAGGTTTCTTTACCTCGACCCGTGGTCTTCGGCAGGGAGATCCTTTGTCCCCGTTGCTCTTTGTGCTTTGCATGGAGGGTTTCGCTGCTTTGATCAGACAGGCCATCGCAGAGAGGAGACTAGAAGAAGTGAAGGTTGCCCCTAGGGCACCCCGTATCTCGCATCTTTTCTTTGTGAATGACTCGTACCTGTTTCTCCGCGGCTCTTTGCAGGAATGTGAGAACCTTATTGAGGTCTTAAACACATATGAGGAGTTAAGTGGCCAACGGGTTAATTTGGGCAAGTCAGCAGTGTGCTTTAGTAAGTATATTTCTTTGCCTGATCAGGAGTTTCTTGCCGAGATCCTGGGTGTTGGCGCAGTAGGAGTCCAGGATAAATATTTGGGCCTCCCCACTTTGATTGCGCGTTCTAAAATGGCTACATTTCATTTCTTGGAGGATAAATTGTTAAACATTTTGCAAGGATGGAAGTAGCGGACGTTATCTTGGGCAGCTAAGGAAACACTGATCAAGTCTGTTGCCTTAGCTCTACCTCTTCATGTGATGTCCTGCTTCAAATTGCCGTTGTCTTTGTGCCACCTCTTGGATAGGCATGTAGCTCGATTTTGGTGGGGAGTGGAAGGGGGGCATTCCAAAATTCGATGGGTGTCCTGGAGAATTATGTGCACTAGTAAGCATGAGGGTGACATGGGCTTTCGAAGATTTGAACAATTTAATCAGGCCTTGTTGGCAAAAATTGGGTGGCAAATTCTGTCTGAACCCCAGTCTCTTCTGGCGCAGGTCAATAATGGAAAGTATTTCCCTAGGGGCACGTTTTTAACTGCCGAACCTAGGTCTCGACCCTCTTGGGGTTGGCAGAGTATCCTTTATGGTCGTGAATTGCTGCTCCGTGGTCTTCGTTGGCAGATTGGGAACGGGCATACAGCCTCGCTGATTTCCTCTAGTTGGGTTCCCCTTTTGCACCCTAATAGCCCGGTTTATAACCCTCAGGTCATTCCTGTTGGGGGGGATCCAAAGGTGGGATTGGTTATCTGCCAAGGTGAGGGGAGATGGTGTGATGAGAAGCTCCTGCAGTGGTTTGCTCTAGAAGTGTGTCGTGTGATTAAGTCTATTCCCCTCCCTCGTAGGGGTGTAGAGGATAGGCTAATTTGGCACATGACAGCTGATGGTCTCTTTTCTGTTAAGTCGGTGTACCACCTTGCCGTTTTGATTGATAAACAGGAGGGTCGGTGGAGACCCGTGGTTAGCTGGATGGATAAGCCAAGTTGGGTTCGTTTGTGGAATGCCAATATCCCTCCTAAACTCAAAGTGTTCCTGTGGCAAGTGTTTTGTCGCATCCTTCCGACGACCGAAGCGTTGATCGAGAAAGGCGTGGACGTTCTCCTGCGTTGTCCTGTCTGCTGGGCGGAGAAGGTGACAATGGAGCATTTGTTCTTCGACTTTCGGGTGGCCAGGGCCCTTTGAGATCAGGCGGGGTTGGGCCATCTTGGTCAAGGATTGCCGGGTCATACCTTCCCCCTGTTTTGAAGAATCTGTTGGGTACGCTTAATCAGCCTCATTTGTTCATGGCAGTGGCTGCTGTCCTATGGCGAATATGGCGGTCGCGTAATTGGGTTGTGTTTGAAGGCAAACAATTTGGGATTCCAGCATTACTACGACAATATTTCCAGCAATACCAAGAATGGGTAAGCCTCCCTGTGGATCCGGATCCGGGTGTGCCCCCCATTTCCCCTCCTGTGGGTACGTTCACTGGTGAGCAGTCAGTTACCTGTATGTGGGATGGGGCAACCAAGTCGGGGTCTCATTCGGCGGGTGGGCTTGTGCTCAAGGACTCCAACAGGAATATTTTGCTGGTTCGTGGTGTGCAGTTCCCGGATCTTGACATCCCCTTGGTGGCTGTGGTGTCTGGAATTGGGCTTTCATGATGATTGTTTCCAGGGGGATGCTCAGATTATCATTGATAAACTTACGCGACAAGATGCGAGGGATGTTCAAATAGGGGCGGTGCTGGAGGAGATCATCGGAGTGTTTTCTAGTCATAGTGCTTTAAGTGTTCGTTTTGTAGGTCGGAGTAACAATAGGGTAGCCCATTTGGTGGCTAGAAAGGCCCTTGATTTGTACCCGGCTACATGTCGTTCTTTTGATTAAGCATTGGGAAGTTAGAGAAAGCCAATCGTCTTTGGCCACTTCCGTTTAAGAGAAAACGATTAAGGACAAGAGATAATGACGATACAGTACTTATACCGCTGATTAGGACTTCAATGGCTGTCTTTGTTAGTTGAATGATACTTCTGATACTTTGCCATGTTTTTATGCGTTTTCCCCTGAAGTAAATCATCATGATATCAAGTGATCGACAGATCGTAGATCACAGAAAACTTGGAAATTCTAAATAAACATATGCTAGGGAAACTAGTCTAGACTGAAGAGAGGTTAGTTGTGCGTTTAGGTGACAAATGGATTAGTGGACACAATTCACTTATTTAATGGTTCGGCTGCATGCTTTTCGGTGTCGAGGTTGAGAGGAGTCCATGAACTTAATTATATGGTCTTAAACTATGGCGGAACTAGGTTTTCTATACAGGTGTATCAGTCGACAAAACAAATTAAAAAAATAAAAAAATTTCATTATATTCATAATGGCATTAACTTTTGTAAGGAACCACAACAGTTTTTTATTCATAATTCATTGTTTATGTTGCAAATCATACATTTTTTTGTTATATAGACAACTGATAATAATCATTAATAAATTGGTCACTAAACATCATCAATCTCATGTTATTTGAGTAATGAAGAAAACCTACATGAAATGTCAGTAGTTTGATTCGCCGAAGGTGAGGAGGATTGAAATTCATGAGGCTTCCTCATGAAACCATACACGTATTGACAGAATGGCAGTTCAACCGTAAAAAGATCCTATCGATAAGTGGAGTTTCAGTACAAGCTTCTGCAACAAGCATTTTCGGTATAATCACTAATGATGTGATATCGACTAGCGCGATATTTAATTCTCGTGGTCCAAAAATGAAGATTCATATTCGACGATTTAAGGATCAACTAGGAGCATTCTTGATGGATAAAAAGGAGAATGCATTAAGGATCGGGCCTACGACATTTCTTGGAGCCCAAAACGTCCATCCTTGCTACCCAAGTCGTCCAAATGTGAAAAGGGCAAGGAAAGAGATTGCTTAACCACTAAGGAGCTTCCTTAAGCATTATAAACGTGTTTGGAGATTACTTAGCTGCTAAGGAGCTTCCTTTAGTCATAAAAACGAGTTATAGTCCTTATTTAAGTAGTATTATGTTTCCTAGTTAGTTTGGGATTTGTTTTCCTATTCCTTTTAGGTTAGTTTTATGTTTTTGAGACCTCTATAAATAGAGGATGTAAGAGCTACGAATTTTGTACCAAATATTCAAGTTATCAATTAAGAGTTTTTACTCGTGTTCCTTTGTGAACATTTGTGCAAGCTTCTATCGAGAATCTCCAGGAGTTTCACGTGTCTCTTATCAACTAGAGAACGCGTCTAGTTGTGGCGAGCTTCTACCCAATAGCGATTGGCCTTATTCACGAGTGGGTGATTGTTTGATTGGTTTCATATACCAATTGGCCTTTCACACGAGTTGGAATCTGTTTGATCATGTTCCATATCTATCCTTTTTTTTCAAGTTGTCAAGAAAAGCTTCGAAAATTCCGTAAAAAGAAGGAAGGCTGCGTACTTTGCTCATATAATCCGAGTTCGAGGGTTCTCTTCAGATTTGGATCATATCAAGTGGCATCAGAGCCTGGTTCAAACTCAGCGGCGATTTGAAGAATACTGGTTCAAACTCAGTGGCGATTTTGAAGATTACCGGTTCAAACTCAGCGGCGAAGGTGTGTTATACGAATATCCTTTACTTTTAGTTCTTGTTTTTTTTTCAAGAAAAGCAAAAAAAAAACAATTTTATTTGTTATTGTATTATTCTTTTCGGTTTTACTGTTCACGTGAAGGGAAAAAAAAGAAGAAAAAAAATTTTTAAAAAGAAAAAAAAAAGAAAGTTAATCAGCCACAAAGATGATCGTTGTGGGAAAAAAAATCTGGGTTTGTGTGTTTGTGACTCTTGTTAGCTCTTTGAAGTCAACATATATAAATTTATGATGGAGATCAACAGAGAAGGTGAGAAGCTCTACATTCCATTGTTTCACGGGGAAAGAAATCCAGAACCCTATCTGGGAGGAGGAGATGAACGATTTGTTTACATATGATTACTATGCAGATTGGAAAAGGGTGCAAATCGCTTCTATGACATTCACTGATTATGCTCGTAAATGGTGGATTTGATTGTGTTCATCTTGGAGGCGTGATGGCAGTGGAGAAGTAGATTCATGGAAAACATTAAAGCGGAGCATGAGAAAGAGATTTGTACATGATGATAGATATCCTCAAACTACTCTCCAAAGTCACCACCAAAGTTTCAAGATTTATGAAGATTACTCTAGGAGATCTTTTCCTTGACAAGAGATAAAGTCAAGTAAGCAAACCACTTATCATAAGAAGGAAGATCCGGCACCTACAATATCTCCAGAGAGCACATTACAACTTTCAAGTGATTGGAGATCTCTTCACAAAGAGATAATGGGACACTTAGCTAGAGTAAATGAGCTAATGGAAGAAGAGAAAAATAAGAAAGAGCAAGAGGCTGCAAGTGCACGATCAATTGATATTAATAAGCATGGTGCTTCTTCAAGCTTAATCCATGGCGAGGAAGTTGAGGTAGAAATTGAAGAAGACGTGGATGAGAAAGAAGAGGTTCTTGTTGATGGACTTACTATAGTCACGTGTGAAGAGGATTCACAAGCTTTGATTTCAGCTCAAAAAGAACTAGAAAGTGAAGTAGAAGAATTAGAAGAGGCAAAGGAGGTGAAAGAAGGTATTCTTGTTGATGTTCAAGATTTGAGTGCACCTAGAGTTGAGCACTACACTGAGGAATCAGAATTCGATGGAGACAATGAATGCTTGGAAATTATGGAGCATTTACCGATAGTTCCCGAAGTTTCTCATGTTGATTTCGTCATTGGGGATTCAATTTCTAAAGAGGAAGTTCGCTTGGAGAATCGACAAGAAATTTAGCGTTATGTAAAGAGCTTTCATCACAATAGTGTCTTTACAACTCGTGGTCGAGTTGTCTTCAAGAAGGGGGGAATAATAGGATCCTCACTACCAAGACAATTTTGTTAGAAGACAAAGAAAAATGGAGGTGATCGGAGATCAAGATTCTGTAAAGATTCGAGGTCAAATCTTCTTCAAGAGAGAGGGAATGATGTTTGAGAGGGAATGATGTGTTATCGACTAGTGCAATATTTAATTCCCGTGGTCCAAAAATGAAGATTCATATTCGACGATTTAAGGATCAACTAGGAGCATTCTTGATGGATAAAATGGAGAATGCATTAAGGATTGGGCCTACAACATTTCTTGGAGCCCAAAACATCCATCCTTGCTGCCCAAGTCGTCCAAATGTGAAAAGGGAAAGGAAAGAGATTGCTTAACCACTAAGGAGCTTCCTTAAGCATTAAAAACGTGTTTGGAGATTACTTAGCTGCTAAGGAGCTTCCTTTAGTCATAAAAACGAGTTATAGTCCTTATTTAAGTAGTATTAAGTTTCCTAGTTAGTTTGGGATTTGTTTTCCTATTCCTTTTAGGTTAGTTTTATGTTTTTGAGACCTCTATAAATAGAGGATGTAAGAGCTACGAATTTTATACCCAATATTCAAGTTATCAATTAAGAGTTTTTACTCGTGTTCCTTTGTGAACATTTGTGCAAGCTTCTGTCGAGAATCTCCAGGAGTTTCACGTGTCTCTTATCAGCTAGAGAACGCGTCTAGTTGTGGTGAGCTTCTACCCAATAGCGATTGGCCTTATTCACGAGTGGGTGATTGTTTGATTGGTTTTATATACCAATTGGCCTTTCACACGGGTTGGAATCTGTTTGATCGTGTTCCATATCTATCCTTTATTTTCAAGTTGTCAAGAAAAGCTTTGAAAATTTCGTAAAAAGAAGGAAGGCTGTGTACTTTGGTCATATAATCCGAGTTCGAGGGTTCTCTTCGGATTTGGATAATATCAACTAATACAGTTTCGGAATCCTATAGAGAGTGTTACTGTTCAGTATATTAATTTCTGTCGTTTAAAGAGAGGAAAAAGGATTCGAAGCTCGCGGCCGCAATTCTTGAACAGCGTGAGGAACTGAGAACCACACAATTAAAAAACACAAGGAAAAATAAGAAAAATTATTAATTACAGCGAAATGTGAGGGGTCGCCTGAAGATGTCAAGTCAGCGATCCTGACAGCGTGGCAAACCACCAATCACATATATCACTTCTCTGTCCGTCGCCGCCGGGAAAGGGGACAACAGACTCTAGTGGTAATTAGTGTGCACGCCACCGCACCGGTGGAAGCGAGGCGGCAGAGAGGGAACGCGGCTTCCGCCATGTGTTGTGGCCTCGCTTTGCTGACAGTCGTTGTTCTTCCTTTGGTCCCGCGCTCACCGTCACCGGGCCCTCCTTCCTCGTGATCTATACTATCGTACACAAGCTAGTCTCTTTTAATATATTGCATTTTTTTCCGTTGAATCAGTTTCCCTCTTATTAATATGAAAAGAAAACCAATACAGCGAAGGCAAAGCGATAACGCTTTGAGTCATGTCAAAAACACTGCCAACTCCTACTCAGCTTATATCTGCACACTCAACTACTCAAAACAAGCAACAAACAAAAAAAATCAAAGGTATCCCAAGTGCACGAGGTCTCCTTGCAGCATAGCGTTTCCAGCAACCAAGTACCGCAGATCCGCTTGCAGCTGGGCAGCAACTTTCTCCGGGTCTGGGATTGCACCACCATGTACAATTCTGCATCACTCACGCCATATGTATTTCAACACCATACACCACACAACCCCATGCCATCTCATTTTCCCCGAGGGTCGAACCAAAGAGCAGACTGCAGCCATCATTGCGTCCCAATCTCCAGCTTCAAACAATCTGCAGTGCAAATTCAAGACAAGGAGACGAGCAAAGGAGCAATGCATGAACAGGTGCTCTCTTGTTTCCATCGGATATGTGCACAATGGACAAGAGGCAATAGTTATCTTCCTCCAGCTCAGAAGTTTATCTCTCGTCACTATTGCATTTCGTACAATAAGCCAAGCAATAAAGCTATATCGAGGAGGGAAGAACCTACTCCAGACAAGCTTAAACCACTGCACCTCTGCCTGCTTTGCACGCAAGGATTCCCAAACCATTCGAACATAATACACCTTCATTAATTTCGTCCCCCAGCAAATCTCACCATTCCTCTGCTGTATCCATGGCCTAATCTGATCTCTGATTTTGAGTAGTCTCCTCCATGTCCAGGAGCTGCTATACTGAGGCTTCATCGACCATAAATCAGACTGCTTACATTTATACTCGTACATCCATGCAACCCAAAGAATCCCAGACCTGATGAGAAACAGCCACAACATCCTAGCAGAGCTAGCTAAGTTCCAAGCCTACAGATCCTTAATCCCCAATCCCCCTTCTTTCTTTGGAAAAGCTAGTTTTTCCCAGGCTACTTTAGCCCTACCCTCATCACTACCATGCCATAAGAACTGGGAGCAGACTTTCCGTACTTGTTTCAAAACTTTTTTGGGAAGAACAAATAGCTGCATCCAAAATTGCACTATCCCCATCATAACAGAGTTTAATAGCTGCAATCTTCCCGCAAAAGAGAGCTTTTTAACTCGCCAGGACTTGATTCTTTTTGTAATTTTTTCAACCAACATAGCCACCTCTATTGAGGATAACTTCCCAGTGATCAAAGGCAGACCTAAGTATCTAACAGGGAGCTTACCCTCTTGGAACCCTGAAAGCAGAAGAGCAGTAGACTTATACTTAACAGAATCGCCTCCAAAATAAACCTCACATTTGGAAGGATTGCATTGGAGTCCAGAGATCCCATAAAACTGTTGTAGCACCTGTTTAACCTGAAGAATGGCTCGAGCTGATCCTTCTGTAAACACAATAATATCATCTGCAAAACACATGTGATTCAGCTGCACCCTCTTACACTGTGGATGATAGGGTATTTTCCCCTCCTGACTAGCTTTCATCAACATGTTAGAGAGCCCCTCCATAGCTATTGTAAGTAGGTATGGCGATAGGGGGTCCCCCTTCCTAGCTCGAAAATAACCACACAAACCACCATTTATGTTAATACTATAGTGTGCAGTTTGAATGCAACACTTGATCCACTTCAAGAACTGTTCAGGAAAGCCCATAGCACTCATCATAAGGAAAAGATAGTTCCAATTTACAGAATCAAACGCTTTCATTATGTCAATTTTGATAGCACATCGAGAGGAAAGTCCCTGTCTATGATATCCACTGCTAGGAAGATGTTGTCCATTATGCTTCTTCCTTTAATGAAAGATGATTGGGAGGGGCTAATAATAGTTGGTAAAACTTACTTAACTCTATTGGAAAGAATTTTAGCCACAATCTTGTATAAAAGGTTCACACAAGATATAGGTCTATAATTCTTAAGGGTATCAGCAGTTGGAATCTTAGGAATTAGAGAAACAGCCGTGGAATTCACACCACTAGGAAGCTTACCTTGTTTGAAGAAGTCAAGAATCCCCCTGGTGACATCCTCACCAATAATATGCCACGTTCTTTTATAAAACCCAGCAGAAAATCCATCTGGCCCAGGGGCCTTCTGAGGATTCATTCCAAAAACAACTCGTCTGATCTCATCAGTAGTGACAGGTTGTACAAGAAGGTCCTTCCCCTCATTTGTTATTGTGTGTCTTACCAAATCTGCTACATCATCTCTACTAGGCTTGATCTCAGGATTAGCCTCACCCAAAAGCTTCTTATAGTAGCCAATATTATCTGATCAGATTGAACAAGCTCTTCCCATGTTGTAGATATCAGTTTGCGAATTGCTCTCTTTGAAGTTCTGATTTTTACTGCCTGATGAAAGAAACCCGAGCTTTTATCACCAAGCTGCAGCCAAGAACCCTCGACTTCTGCCAACAGAAACTCTCATAAGCCACCTGAAGCTTAGTACAATCAGCTTGCAACTTATTGACTTCTGCAAAATGAGCCGAGGTAGGATCTGAGAGGGCTGACAGTTGTGCTTGCCTAAGCAACTCTTCTGATGCTTTAACCTGACCTTGCGAATCACCATAGATCTCCTTATTGAACTGCTTCAGTGCCTTCTTAACTTCTTGCAACTTCCCTTGAACAACCTTCAGCGCCTTCCTCCAAGCTTTCTCAACTATTTCCAGGAAAAGAGGATGTTCAGCCCAAAATTCAAAATACTTGAATGGTTTGGGGAGTGTTTTAATTGGCGCAGCTATGCAGACTTGAATACCACAATGATCCGAGAAAGCTGAAGGGAAAGCCTCCATGGCACAGTCAGGAAATTTCTCTATCCATTCTAAATTCACCAATGCTCTATCTAATCGACGGGCAATAGGGTTATTTTGCTGTCTGTTTGTCCATGTGAACTGACGACCCGTTGTTCTGTAATCCAGGAGCTCCATATCACCTATCCAATCATTGAAGGCTGCCATACTAGAAGTGATAGACTGTTGATTACTTGTCTCACCTGGTACCCTAACTGTGTTGAAATCCCCCCCACCATATTTTGTGGTGGGGAATATAATTACTTATTTTATATTATTTGGGGACAAATAGAGAGTTTAAGGTGATATTTTGAAGATAAATTTTCAAGTTGGTTTTCGTGGAAATTTAAAGGATTGGCGTAGTTTAGTGACTAGTGATTATATATATAAAAGGATAAAATATATCATATTCTAGGTTTAAGTATTTGAGCTAATATTTATTTAAATTAAACCAAGATCTTTGTATAAAAAAATAAAAATAAAATAATAAAAAGTGGAGTTAATACGAATTTGAACAAAATGATGTGAAGGGAGAAATGTGCAAGTTGATGTCATTTGATAGCTCTTGTAGTTTTTTTTATAATGATGATGAACATTCATTAATTTAAATCAATAAAACAAAGTACAGAAACAAATCTCACAAGGAGTGAGAAAAGAGCAATGCCAAAAAGCAAAGGTGAAAGCGTTAGAAGGAAAAGGTAGAACAAACTCAATAGATCAAAAAGCTAATAGAAACTGTGACAATAAGGGCGGAAAGGAAGTCAGGGAAGGAGGCTATGAATGAGATCGGGATCTCCAAAAGCAGAAGACTGGCGAGTAATGGCGCTTCTGCAATACCAATCCTACAAAAAGGTCATTCATTGCTCTTTGTCAATCTTTCCATGAGTTGTGATCCACTCAAAGATAGCTCTAGTAATCTTCTTAGCAACTACTGAAGTGATGCAGCTCGTCTCCTGAAATATTCTCTAATTTCATTTCTTCCACACAAACCAGCAAATCGCATG